ATACATAGCATTTAGGTAAAACTAACGGTACTCTCTTCTGAAATTTTTATATGTTTTTAACAAAATCAGCTTCATTGGAACTACGCAGTCTTTCGTTAGTTTCACCTGCTCCTCTCTAATGATAATTTCCAAACCGCATCTGTCAACGCGTACGTTGACATAAGGTAGAATCGTATCCAGCCTGGCGCATCTGCTCCTATCAGCTATGGGAAAATTCTACTAAAAACCTAGCTGTTTGTCTCCTCTTTTTCATATTTTCCCACAATTATGACAATTTTTAGTAATATGCTAGCCTTCGGAAGTCTTAGATATCCCATGATACGCCTCTGATGCGTGACCGTTCAGCGCTCGGGGTAGTTTCTAACATCTGCTAACCAAATGGTTGAGATCCAAATTTCTCGGCACTCCTTTGGTTGTAACTTTATAGTTATAGCAACCAAATGTTATTACAGAATATATCTCCAAACCCTGTTTTTGTCCCGGCATATTTGAAAAGTCCAACTTTATAGCATCCAGTTCTATTATCTATTTTCTTCGTAATATGAATTTGGTTTCCCTTGGCGTTCACTGGGTGGTTTGCAGATGCGAGTGTTTGTTCTGCCCTTAGTTTTTATGTTTATTTCTATTTTATGGATGCGACGAATCTTTACAAGGGTAGGCGGCATGACGAATTATTTCAACGAATTTAGAAATTGATAACTTGGTCGGCTACATTTTATAGGTTCAAGTAAACTATTTTAGAAATCAAAGTAGTATAAATAAACTAATTGAACTGTTAGCTGTCATATATTTGGTTTAGTAAAAACGGTAATGAACAAATCGTTCTCTGAACTGCAATGTCATTACAAAACATGTGCGTCTTTAGCTTTATAAGTGTTGTTGAACATATATGATGCGATTGTTTTTGTATTTATTTGTACTGCAGCATTTCCGCATATATATTAAAACGTGGTTCGCACACCTCGTGTGACGAGAGTGAACACATTTCTCAGAGATTCAAAGTTCGTTTCCACTGGGTTCGACACTGCGCTACGTACTTGACATATAAATATAGAATCAGCTGTTAGTGAAGGCGGGCTTTGTTTATACTCAGTCTTACAGGGTGATGTAGAGCCACTTTAAATCATACTCATGGAAAACAGGAGCCAAAAATTGCATTCCAGTGACCCATTTGTGTTAATGAGAGTAACTCAGACACCTATCTATAATACTGCACCTCAGCAAGTTAGTGTTGATTCTGACTCTACTCATACTTTATAGGCAAAAATTGTTCGTTGAACCGTGCCCTTTCAAACCTTCCTCGGTTATATCGTGAAGGGTTGGGATTAATCCTGGAGTAGATTATCCTGGTCTCACAACGTTTATGTCGTAATGAAAAATTTACGAGTTCTCCTTTATAAATCCTCTCCGAAAAATGCAGCTAACTTGAGATGTGTCAGGCGTCAGTTCTGTTATAACTGTCAACGGTGTTGTCAATACTGTCACTGTGATACACTTGGAACAACAAATAAACCGTAGAAGAGACAAAAAAAGATCAGGTAGATAAAGGAGTTTATAAGGTTTCCTAACAAAGTACTGTCAGTTGAACCGACTTATGAGAGCTTTGAAGAAGTCTCATGGAAGGTCTATAAAAAACTTGAGAAAACTTCTGCAAGCGTGGTCCACTGGTAATCCACAAGTAATCCTTTCCTCTGACTTCAAATAACTAGACCTATACCGTTCTAAGGATTGCTAACAAACCATTAAACAACGTTTTATACGACGGGTCACGGTCGCAGAGACGAAATTGAACACAACCTGTTGTGAATTGTTGTTTACTTCATTCTTCTATGAAATGCTTGTTTTATCCTTATGTGTAAATTTCGATTGTAGACCCTAAAAGAGCACAAAGCAAGAATTCCGAATGATTCTCAATTTTTTCAATTTTGGTACATAAGAGCCAGAATATAAGTAAAAAACAAAAGAGAACGGTATATTCCAATTCCAGATACTTTTTTATTATCTAGGTGAGGTTTCCAAGAAATTGATGATACAAAAGAAATAATTTCTTATCAATGTCTGTTAAGTGCTTTCAACTTCTTCGGATTCTCGGGATAGATAAAATAGGATAGGATAGGATAGAAAATGTTTTTGATCAAATTTCTAACGTTTCGGCGATTATTTTACGCCTTCCTCAGGCTACAAAAAAGTGAAAAAATACGTTTAAAAATACAAAGGTGTAAATATAGCAATGAAGCGAGAAAAAATCCATTCAAAAAATGTACTAAGAAAATACACATTATCATAAAAGCTATAGAACAAACAAGCAAACACGATGAAAATAAACGTGCGTACATATTAATATTAAAAGTTATTATTTATTATGATAATTCAGGATCCAACAAGGTAGAAATGTTTTCTTTAAAATGGGATGTTAAAAGAAAGAACATATTAAAAACCATATCAAAAAACAACGAACGAATATATTCTTAAACAAATATTTAATAAATATTTGTAATATAATATTTTTATTAACTATCTTTTAAATATTTTAAATACAATATTTCTTTTATAATATTCATTAAATATTTACTTTAAATATTTTCGGCTACGGCGCATGTGCGTGTGAGCTCGAGCGACCATTGGGATAATAGTAAGTCGGCCTGAGACGGCAGTTCATTATTTGAGTGTTTTTTTTTTTTGTGGATAAGGGAAAAGGGTAAGTTTTTCGATAATTACATAGCTTAATTTACCTGACTAGTGAACATTATTGTGCCAGCTGAGTATAAAGATATTCATAAGACCATAAATAACTAGCCTTCAAGTGTACTACTAAAAAAAGTCACATTTCAACAAAATCAATAAGTGTTAGTCAACGGATCAAGTTGTGCCCATGGACATTTTTCCTCAAGATATCTAAAATCACATACTAAATTTTCTTAAAAATTAACCAAATCACGAATTATCATAGGCATAACATGTGGGGTCCTTTTAGATGCATTATAGAGCTGCTTTTCGGTGACCCAGTTGAGCAACTCGGAGTAACTCACCATGCTCAGTCAGCACCAATAAATACACTGGAAAGCAGCTTATGTATTCAATAATACTTCAGAATTAGTAAGTTTGTTTTTTTTCAGAGGAGTGGTCTTGCAAGATGTAGAAGAGGCTTAGAATGTTTTTTGATAATATTTTTCTAGCAAATTAAACCATTATATCTAGAATGAATTTTCTTTATAAACCCAATTTTATATAAGCATTCCTACGGGTTTTGCTAAAATAACCAATGAAGAATTTTCCATCGACAGTGAAAATATGTTTCAGATTAATGCTTGAAAATCCATACATATTTACGAAAAATATTAGATATTTCATCAAAATATGAATTGATATTTAAAAATCCTATTTTTTAAATATTTGGAAAAAATATCGCAAAAATATATAATATACTACACCTATAATGAATATTTTATACCTAAATATATAAGAAATATATTTATTAGATATTAAAAAATCTGTCGCTACAAATATTTAACAAACATTTTTTAAAAATATTTAATAGATATTTAATGCTATCGGGGTTCTTAAGGTTTAAACGCCGAAACGTTGACAATTTGATTAAGGACGGTCAGAAAAGCACACGCAACCTTACTTTATGAAAAGTATTATCAGAAATATTATTTATAAACTACCTAACTGCAAATTTATGGCAATAATGATTTTCATTTTTTTATGGTTAAGACTCAAAATGTAGTATCTTAGTTTCAAGACCATAAGATTTTTGTTGTGGCAATAATTATTTATAGTTTCAAAAAACTGTGTATTTTAGGTTTATTAATCTGTTGTTCTATCCGATTTTTATTTTATTTTGACTAATAAAATGTTTAAACTGAAAATTTTGATTTTGTTTATTAGTTTTGAAATCAGATATTTATTATTCAGGTTATTTTTATACTCATCTTCTTATTTGATTTTTATTCTGATAAATTGTTACTGATGATGTCTTAATTTTATTATTACTATACAGAAAAGTTTGCAGTTTTTCGTCTAATAGAAAAATTTAATTTTTCCAAAAAATCAATTACTTATGTTTGCTTATAAAATCGATTTTACACAAATCAAGTACATATATTAAAAAATATGAAATCAAAATGATATCTACTTATTTCGAAAATTCTCGAATTTGAAATAAGTCGCTCATTCTGTCAGCCTGCCAGTCTTTCTGTAATTCTGTCATGGCACAATTTCAGCAATCATTGGAAATTTTTGAAAAAATTGGGTAGCGATATTATGAAGTAGTAGCAGGTCATGTGGTCGGTGCGACAAAGTTATAGCAGAAAGAAAGTTTTTTAATATTTGATTTCGCAATCTTTAGTATTTTCGAGACAAAGACTAAAAAGGGTATTAACACGTCGATATTTTGCAGGATTCTCAATTTTGGATGACTTACTAGATAATATTTGTTTCTGGAGTTGCCATCCTAAGAACTTTTTTCAATTTTTTTCATCCTTTATTATTTCTTTCACTTATGTGTAAAAAGTAAAAACGAGTAGATCCTCTCATTACATGCAGCTTGTAAATAAAAATACCAATTTATACTTTGGAATTACGGATAGTCTAATAATTTAGGTTGCATTTTAAAGATTTGTAATATTCATATCTATCGTCAGTACTCCATTTTCACGTCATTCTGATGATCAAAAAATGTATGACCCTACCAACTTCGTCAGATCTTAGTGTGTTGAAAATATATCGTAAAACGCTATCAAGGGTCAGTTCCCCACACAAACTAAAGGTACGTTCCATATAGAAATTGAAACATTTTCCCATTTCAAACAGCAAGTCATAACAGTTCAATGACATTGCTTAAACTGGATTAAAAGGAATCAATGAATGAATTTATGTGCAAAAGCATCCCAAGTTTAGAAGCGTGCAACAATTAACTGCCAGTTGGCTTACATGTGATCTGCATATTCAAAACAAACACTGACAAATGAATGACTGCAGCTGAAATCAAATCCTACCTGAGACAATGTGATTGTAGGGGTGGTGGTAGCGTACGACGAGGATGGATCAATAACGAAGGGTGTTTCGCTCGAAAAATACCACACGCTGGAAATCTCTTCGCGAAAATGTAAGGACGGCGTAACTATTATAAACAAAACGAAAGTGTATCAGTAATAGTAACGACGAACCGAAATACAACAAGCGACTGAGTGATTAAAACAAGCGGTCTCCATACTTAAAGTTGTTTTCGTTCAGACAAGGATGGATGCCTCGCTTGGAGGGAGCATGCGTTTTAGTCCAGGCGATATTTAAAGAAATTATGTTCTGAACCGGAGTTCTGTACGTATATTCCGTTAAAAAATTGAGGTTGAAGAACTTGGACGCTTGGAGACGATCTGAATTTTTTAGTTTTTTGTTCAAAAATCCACCGCCACTTACCAGATTTTCAAATTCGACCGTTCTAACTTCCACGCCCTCTGGTAGGGTATTGTAGGTAATAGCGAAAATTCTCGAAAATGAGCTGTTATGTTTTTTGGATGTTATATGACATATACATCATAAAAAACCATATAACTCATTTCCGACAGTCTGTCTGTTTGTCCACCCGTCTGCTAATCTTTAACCGCCTATAACTTAAGAAGTACCGCTCGGATTTTGATGACATTTTTACACAACATTACTACTATTCCAACGACGCAAAAACATTGAAGTTTTTGAAAATCGGTCCGGTGGCTCATGTTCGGTAAAATCTTTGTAGCTGTTAAAAATTGAGGGTTAGGGCTTGCAAGGTGTGACATATATTAATTTTTTGACGTTGTTATATTTATACGCCTCCAGCTGCAGTAACTCTACGCACATGTTAGGCATATTTCACGCATCACAGATATCTCCCTGTATTTACCCTCAAAAACAACGTGGTCCGCGGATGAACAAGAGTCGTCGTCGGTGGTCATACGTGACAGTCGGCAATCGCTACCGCACTGCTATGTACTATGTGCACTAAGCATGGTGAAGGCCAGTATCGTCATTGACGCGGGATTGGTCATAGCAACGATCATCTGCGCCTGCAGCAATTCCTCTCAGGGGGAGTAGGAAGGTCATTTAATTTTTTGTTATACATGTTCGTAGCTAACTTTTACTCAGAAGGCCTAATTTGTGCCAAATATAATCCTTTACCAACTGACGCGATTTTTTAGGTATTGGCATAATAGTTTATTTTGCGCAAAATATCATTAACGTCCACTAAATGTGGTGTTCTTGCTATTGAACCAACTAAACATGATGCTTTCGTCCGTCCGACCACAGACAGCCAACCATGGACAGCTTTTTCGTGCTTTACGGCAAATCATCAGCATGGTCTAGGCTTGGTCTCAGGTGGTCAATGAACGAAAGCATATCAACTATTCTCTATCCGAGGTATGAGATTTGTCGACATAAGACAATAAAAAGCGCCATCTATTAGAATTACCGCAGCTATCAATTGGAACTGTGCCGCTGTGACCGCCAAAGACTGACGTATCTGGTGGTCCATTCGCCATTATACCTTCCGAGTTATAGATGATGCTAGGATTATCGGATAGACGACAGATAGACCGATGTAAACGACCTGACATGGCTTTTTCCTCAACAATTAACGTGGGGCATAATTCCCAGGCATTGCATCATTAGTGTAGTGATCTGGTGCGAAATGTAACCGTCGAGGCCGGGATTCAAACCCGCGAGCCTTCCAGCCGATGTGCTAGCAGCCCGATGCCATAATACATACACAGGACTACCCAGCCCACATCAATTTTAGCATTCTAATTTTTTTACTGTTCCTTAAAATGGTGGACTGAATCGGAAAACGTCAAAAAGCTAAGCTTAACATTTTGACACCATAAACATTTTCAAAGTCACCTAAAAATTATCATAAATATCAGAAACCGAAGTTTCAGCACCTACAATTTTTTTCGTCATTAACTGAATTTGAAAAGATCTTTACTCCTGTACCTTGTATCAGAATTTTGCCAAAATCGGAGCGGTACCTTCCGGACAATACAGAAACCAACTTAAATGGTTTTACGGTATATATGTATCATACGAGCATAACATTCAAAAAATACAAATACAGGTATGTATTTCTAAAATTTCAAGATGCGTGGTAAGAAAAGAGATCCTGAACGAATAAATTCTCCATAAACAATTGTACTTGATTCCTGTTGTTGAATCTAATCTTATCAATTTTGTAAGCCACAACTCAAGAGAAAGGAAAAGTGGACGTCGTCGAGATTCGGACCCGCAACTCATTCATTCCAGGGAGGCATCCTAACTAATTAGTCCACAGCGCCACCTATCCACCAACTTTCAAGATCGACTGTTAGAGCCAAATTCAAGCCTACCATTGTCCTTGTTCTTTTGAGCTGCTTGATGCCCCATCTGGCGACGTCCAAGCGGAACAACCCGGATTGGTAAGGTAACCCCACCGACGATATAGTCGGTGGGTAACCCCAATCGCCCTCTAGTTGCACCACCCCGTCTCGTGGGCATTTACCACAGTACCGGTAACAGTGGCGTGCGTAGGAATGAATTTGCCTCTAACAATCGATCCTGAATGTTGGTTAACTCACTGAGAAAAAAATTGAACCAAGCCAATTAAAATTTTAATTAGGCGTAATCATGCGACAGCTAACAAGTTTAATTAGTTCAATAAAACTAGAATTTCTAAAAGAGTTTACTATCTAGAATCTAAAAAACTACCTTAATTCAACCAAAACGCAATTGTTTAATTAGATTTATTAAATCGCTTACTTAGATTGATTACGATTTATTTAAAATTAATGAACTGTTAAAATGAGTTTACCTGCTGCAAGTTAAACAATTTAATTGCATTTACTAAATTTTAATGGGAAAAGTGTTTGCCTAGTTTTAATGAATTGTTTTATTTGGACTTAAAAGGATATTGGGATAATATTTGATATTTAAAAGAACAAATTGCATTTTACTGAATGATGTATATTATAACTGTGTTCTGACAAATATTATAGATATCAAAAAATTTGCAAAACCTGATAGTGGATGTTTTCGTATCAAAATAAAAATTCCCGAATTTTATAGCCCTAACGAAATTCGATATTTTTTGTTTTCATTGATTGTGAACTTAGTATACATATATGACATATAAGTTTTACCAACTATTTGTCTGTTTGTCCAGAAACAGGTTATAATCTACCATTATTCACTAGAAGCAATTCTGTGTTTTAAATTCAGAAAGTAGGTAAATGGAAACCTAAACCTGAATCAGGCCACTTGACCCGCATTCAACGCATTTACATATATAAATAAATTCGGCTTTAGACAAACTGGGATATTTTCAAATACTACAATGTCTATACCATTCTACACCTAGCAGGAGGCTCCACTTTCTATATATTCATTATACAATATAAAACAAGAGCACATCAAGCCTATGTTAAGCACATGTTTGGTATAAAATGACCAAAATATGGCTGCATATATAAAATGTCCAAGTTCCTATTCCTTCGCGTCAGCAGTGATTTCCCTATACAGAGTATTTCAATGGGAGCGAGAAATATTCTAACCATGGTTGTGGGTCACTATGCGCCTTATGCTTGAGTATATCACTGCATCATCATAATTGATCCACTTCACAGCTGCTACACCAACAACGGCGACGTTCCAATATGATGCTGCTCGCAAAAATCACAAATGAAACTGAGAAGTTCGAAGCGCGTCATCGGCACTGTCACATACTCCCGATCATTCACGAATGAAGGGCCGAATCCTGCCTAGTCGTCGATTCAAATAAACAGTTTAACTGTTTTTATTAAAACGTTTAGTTGTTTTAAATGTACCATTTCTAAATAAACTAAATTACATAAGCTGATTAAACAGTTTCATGATCAGATACATGGTTTGCTATTTTCAAGCAAATTAGTTTAATAGTATATTATTTTCAATTAAACTGGTTCAGTTTTACTTACTATAATTAAAAAATTAATTAAGGGCAATGAAAATTTTCCAGAAGAACTGTTTGATTGACTAAGTTCTCTCAGTGCAGCTGATGCTGTAAACTAATTGGTTAGGTCGGTTCCACGGAATGGAGAGCATGCGGGTTTGAATCCCGGCGGCGTCCATTTTTTCTTTCTCTCAAGTTATTGCTTACTAAACGTACCCGCTGTGGGCTCTTCCGGTGAAGCATATACACATTCTTCTTCTAATTAATCTTTTGATGACATTTAAACAGAAATTGGTGAATCTCTCCCGGACTATTCAATTTTGTATGCGGTGCTACCAGGGACGATTTTCCGTTTTCCCGAATTGCTCTGTCAATTGGCTATGGATTGTTTTGTTTTTTATCTGCTTCTTGTTGTGTGTAATGGCATACCACACACGGTGTAAGCGGGTCAGCTCATGTCAAATTAACACAGCCAGCTGACGTTCTCAGATGTTGGATAAATGTTTTTTTATCATTAGGTGATTTGCGTTTTTTTCACTTCCCGCAAATTAGGGAAAAGTACTGCATTCTGTATTTGGTGGCCGAATAAACCAGTGAACAATTTCGAAAAAATCACTTTTGACTGAAATAACTACTGAGGTGCGATTGTACATCGCTTGGTGGTGCAATACACACAGTAATGGAAGTGTAGATTGACAAATGAAATTTTACTCTGAAATACTATGTAACTTCATTTTACCTCAATTATTACAGAGTGACGTAATGACACTTGATGCCAGCCTTCTAGCTTCCAGCCACGTTTTCAGTGACCATTTTTTATTATAAGAAACAGTATAGATACAAGGTAGGTATTGTGATATATATATTGTACCAATTTTGAGCGCTTCTTGATAACCATACAAAGTTACAAAGTGAACAAACAATGAACCATGAGAATGACAACATTCTTATTCCCAAGGTTTTGAGCAGAGGAGGAAAAGTGCACTTTTGAAGTTCCAAAAGGATTACTTTGTTCTATTTCCGAACGCATGGAACAGGTGTACGTCAAACAATTACGAATGCTGAAATTGTTATAGAGTACATCAAAGTACACTTTGAAATGTTTCACGAACGCAGTCCTGAACAAATTATCATATCGGAATTTGGAGCCCGATCTGACATATGACCCATCAAGCCATGTCGTGGAATTTATGTTTTGACCGAAATAAAAAAATTAAAGAAGCTATACTATAGCAGTCTACTTGACCATTTTTTAGATAGGGGAAGAACCTGATACGATGGCCCAGTCGGGCTGCACTGCTTGAGCCCGAAGTGTGGGACTGGAGGAATTTAAGAACGTAATTCAAATTGAAATTTTCATATGACACAAGTACCTTAAGATTATAATTTGTTTAAATACGTTCTTTTCCAGCAAGCACTTATTAGATTTGTATGTTTTTCGCTCTCATACCCGGTGCGATCACAACTTTGCTGCGTGAATGTTTCCGCTACAGACATCATGCACTCTATGACGTAACCCGTTTAAAGATGATTATCTCAATATCAAATTTGTTTACTATAAAATAAATTGGCCACAATTGCTACATTAAATATTTATGTATGGTTGTTTGAACGGCTGCTAGATGCTAAATAAAATATATAATATGCAGGTATACAGGGTGTCTCAATATTCCGTGCCAACGGAAGTACCACGTATTTTTAAGCTCAAAATAAATCGATTGTAGATGATTTACATTAATATACCCAAAATTGCTTCGTTTGTCCGATAGAGGGTGTCAAAGTTTTGTTTTTAAACACATTTTTTCAAATATTTTTGGAACCAATAGTGTCCTATTTCCATTTGTCTACTTCAGTTTTTGTCTCTTATAAAAACAGGCCACTCCGCATGGTTTTCGAGAAAAAAATGTTTCTCGGAGCTGGTTTCTAAAAAATTGTGTTGTTACATCAAGTGTTAAAATCTAGTAGGCATCTAGTTTGGCGGACATATGTGGTATATTATGTCAGTGTCAGATTATTTTTGCCATCAAGCTTCATAAAGTTTAAATAATTAATAAGTAACATTTGAATTTATTTTTGATTAATTTGTTGTTTGTTCTTCATAAATTTTAAATTTAACGTCGGAGATTATTGTTCGTCAAGTTGCTGTTCCTTGTTTTCTCGTGAATATGGAATATTCTTTTGACGAAAAAACTGATGACTTGGCTATTATTGGCGGTCACATTGAACACCTTTTATGAAACATTTACACTATTGCCTGTATTCAATAAAATTGTAATAAGTAATGTCATACCGCTAACTACACATAAAGAATGAATAAGATGCTTGGCAACCTGTTGATGCAACTCTTTTTTGTTTACTTGAAAAATATCCGAAATAGCTTGTTTTTATAGAAGAAAAAAAATATCGCAAATAAAAAGGTTTGCAAAATAAAAAAATCAGACTCGTCAGGAAAGTTGACAAAAATTCTGCCAGAATTTATGTAGGGTGGATGTACTATTCATTCACCCTTCTAGAAGTTTTTCGTCAAGCATTAGAACGTCTAGCAAAATATGTGTTCCAAATTTCGTTCAAATCGGACTCTTGGTTCTTAAAATATCTTAAAAAACGGACAAATGAAGCATTTTTGCATAAAGGTAAATCATTTTCAATCGACTTACTTTGAGTCTAAAAATACGTAGTACTTCTATGTCCACGGAATATTAGGACACCCTGTAGAAGCTTCCATTTAATATTTTTTCGATTGTTAGCACGTAACAAATTTTGTTTGATTTTCCTTTTAAGTCGGGATATCCAGCAAACAAAAAAATGCCTGAAGATGAGACACGTCTCAAATATTGGAGGTATAATAAAGAACTTAATTAGGTGTTCTTGCGTTTGGTCGCAGTTTATAGAATTGTCCGTTATGTATAATTTCCAAAAAAAAAAAACGGGGAGCAAAATATTGATGTCGGTCGAAATAAAAAATTCAAAAACCCTCATTAATGTCAATGCACTTTTTCGTTTTATTTTCAAGGAAACTAATCAGGTTTCGTATTTAAAAAAAAAGTTATATTACCTTATGGATATAATAAAAAATTACTATACATTTTTATATACTGTATCGAATCATAACACAAATCACACTTCTTGGTTAAACTGTTCATACTGAGGGTTCCCCGACCAACAAATAACCTGAGTCCAATTTCGACAGAACCCTTTACTGTGAGGTCTATTTGCAAACATGCCTAGACATAGCTTTGAGACCAATGGCAATTTGTTCCATTCCTTAGCAGTTATACCAAGCGACACCAACACTAGTTGTTGCAGAAACAGCAACAAAAGGATTGCTGCTAACGCTAAACTGTAAACTGCCGAGACGAAAGATAGCCCTAACCTAAAAAAAAAAAAATGCTTTGACAAATCAGGTGCAACAAGTTTTCTATGCATAAAATATTTAAAAGATATTCTCAGCAACCGTCCAGGAAAGTATACATATGTAAGACTGATCGTAAATAACAGCTTTACAACTTTAAAGTAACAAAGGATAATAAATAAAATAGTACATTCTTAGAAAGAAGCTTTTATTTAGCTGTTAATAAAATGAACTAAAAATTTTAAATAATCTTTTCCAATTGGATATATTTGAACGATAATGAAGCTCCTCCCTCTCATGTTTTCGTATAAAAGCGTGAATTGTGTTTCTCTCATCATTCCCCCAGTTCCGAGCTAGCAGCCGTCACGAGCATACACTTGTGCGACTGCGACCCACCCGGACATATTGAGCAATCTTATTGCAATTTTCATTGCGATAGATTGTTTGTTTGCCATCTACGATGGCAAAAATTGAGAAGATGGTTAACCAGCTGAAAGAAAAGAAGGATGCTTTCGCCATGCTGGAAGAGCAGATGCGAAACCTGCAAGAAGCATTCTTGCAGGCCAGACAGGAAATTGAAGACCTGAGCGGGAAGCTCCGCAGGGCCAAGAAGAAGGCCGCAAAGAAGACAGGAGAAGAGGAGGAAGAGGACCACCAGGCGTCATCGGACGAGATGGACGCCCAAGAAGAGGGCACTCAACAGACCGAAGGACCGAAGGAAGAAGAAGCCGAGAAGAGGACGGACGACACCGATTTCAGTGTCGCCACCAGACGGAGGAAGCGGGTGCGAGTTTCCTCCGAAGAAGAAGAAGAAGAACCCAGGCAGCGAAAGATGCCAGCTGCCACAAAGAAGAGTGGTCCTAGAGCAACCAGGACCACCGAGACCCCCATGGCAGGAACAGGAGTTCCGCCAATCAACATCGAGGGCACCGCTGATTGGTCATCCTTAAGCAGGATGATGAACAGCAAGGGGATTCAATTCTCCAAAGCGAGGACGGCGGGTACCAGTGTGAAGGTATTCACAAATACACCAGCTGACTACCGTCAGCTAGTCGCACTGCTTGAATCCATCAAGCGGCCCTTCTTCACATATCAACTGAAGGAGGACAGGATGGACCAGAGGGTCATTCGTGGGCTTCCGAGAGAGATGTCAGTCAATGACATCAAAGAGGATCTGGTGAGCCAAGGCATCGCAGACGCCGTGGTTCAGCAGCTGACCTCAAGGACCACAAAGAAGCCACTTCCGCTCTTCCTCGTCAAGACGAAGATGCCGGAAAAGCTTGCAGAGATCCAGAGGCTGGCCATGCTCACGGTCAGCTTCGAGAGGAAGAAAAAGTCTTCCGAGCCCAGCCAGTGCTACCGCTGCCAGCGGTACGGGCACACACAGCGGAACTGCCGTCTCGCTGAACGGTGCGTTAAGTGTGGAGAGGACCACAACAGCACCAGCTGCAGTCTGCCAGCGCCGCCAACAGGGCAACGAAACGCCAAGTGTTGCCTCTGTGGAGAAGGCCACCCCGCCAACTACAAGGGATGTAGTAAGGCGCCGAAGAAAGCTGCTTCTGCCCCCAAAGCAGTCCCCACCACAAATAGGACTTCTTACGCCCAAAAAGTGAAGAAGCCTATGTCCACTTCTGCCCCAGCAGCCGCCACTGCTACTGGAACTACTGCGCAGAAGCAACACGGCGATGACAGACTGCTAGCAATGATGCAAGCCATCATAACCCGCCTGGATGCACTCGAGGCCAAGATGCAAGACAAGCACTAGACCCGAAATGTCTACAGGTCAAAACGTAGAATCTCTACGCATTATCTCCTGGAACATCAACGGTTTCAGGGCACGGAAACCAGAAATCCAGGAGATACTAGACCAGTACCAACCAGAGGTGATGGCCATCCAAGAAACGAAGTTGGATGCTGCCCATAGTCTGACGTTCCCGCGGTACGAGACGTACCGCTACGACAGAAGGGGCAGAGGTGGAGGAGTCGCATTACTCGTCAAACGTACCTTGACGAGTCATGTCCTCGACGATGCCGCAGACATAAATGGGGACGGAATCACGGTCCAGGTCCATCACAACCACCGTCCCTACAGAATCACCTCCCTATATGTGCCACCAGGGGAGGCCCTAGACGAAGATGACATCGCTGACCTCCTGAGAGGCCCAGGAGCACGCATAGTCATCGGAGATCTAAACTGCAAGTCTCCGGCTTGGAACAACAACGTCGAAGACAGGAATGCAAGGCAGCTCCAGGAACACGTCGATGCCCTGGCGGGGGTCATCGTCGGTCCGGAGCAACCAACCTACATTCCATTCGGCCTTGGGCGACCTGCGGTACTGGACATAGCCATCCTCCGCAACATCAGAGAGGAGTTCGAGATAGAGACCCTGGTGGAAGGATCGTCGGACCACAATCCGATTCTACTAACACTTGGTACAGGGTCTAGAACTCGAGATAGCTTGAGCACCAAACGGACGAACTGGAACCTTTACAAATCCAACGTCCAGAGGAACATCACTCAAATTCCAACCATCCGATCAGCGGAGGAACTGGACAACGCAGTAGAGGAGCTGGAGAATGCTGTCCTGCGAGCGCACGAGGACAGCACCCGCTCCGAGACTACGGCAGTTCCTAGATACCTAAATGGTCCAGCACCGCACCATATTAGGCACCTGATCAGGGAGAACAGAAGACTCAAGCGAGAACATCTCCAGCTGTTGACAGAGGAGTCGAGAGTTGCGCGAAACAGAGCATCGTTAGCTCTGAAGAACGCACTCGCGGAACTCCAAAACAACAGATGGAATGCAGCCTGTGCAGAACTAGAGACCCAGGATGGTACGGCCTGGTCTATGCAGCGAAAATTTCGTCGTCAGCGCACCACGATCCCCACTCTTCACGGCCAACGCGGCTTGGCCTACTCCAGTGAAGAAAAAGCCGAAGCATTCGCCGATTCGCTAGAATCCGAATGCAGACTCAATTACCATGAAGACGAGGACGACAACCACGAGGAGGCCGTGGAAGTCGCAGCCGAAAACATGAGGAGTCGACCACCTGGCCAGGAGACGGATCACCCCTCCAGTCCAGAGGAAATCCGTCTGATCATCCGCAGGTTGAAGGTCAGAAAGGCGCCGGGAAGGGACGGCATCAACAATAGGATGCTGAAGAACCTTCCCACCAAAGGCATTGCTGCGCTCACCAACATCGCCAATGCCACTCTGAGACTTAACCACTTCCCGCGGCGGTGGCGGGAAGCCCAGGTTATAATGCTCACCAAGCCAGGCAAGGACCGGAAGTTGCCCCAGAACTACCGGCCCATCAGCCTGGTTTCCTCGGTGGGCAAAGTAGTCGAAAAGGCTATCGCCGTTCGACTAGAGAAGCAGGCAGAAGAACTGCAACTTCTCCCCCCAGAGCAATTCGGCTTCAGATCCTCCCACAACACGGAACTCCAAGCGCTACGACTGACGGAAAACATCACCAGCGGCTTCAATCTCCAGGAGGCAACCGGTCTCGTCCTGCTGGACGTGGAACGAGCCTTCGACCGAGTTTGGCACGATGGACTCATCGCCAAAATGGAAGCCGCCGGAATCGATGCGAACATGTGCCAACTGATCCAGAGCTATCTAACACAAAGATGGTTCACGGTGAAGATTGGTACATGCCATTCAACAAGACGTCAGCTGGAAGCAGGCGTGCCCCAGGGGTCAGCCTTAGCCCCCCTGCTCTACAACATCTATACTTACGATGTGCCGAAGACAGCTGACACAATGCTGGCCCTATATGCAGACGACACTGCTATAGCCGCCAAGCATAGACGACCCGAGATCATCCGTAGGAGACTACAGGGTGAACTGGACCAAATTCAGGACTGGTGCGTGAAATGGAAAATCCGCATCAACGTCCAGAAGACGCAGGCAATCTTCATTCAACGAAGAAGGATTGCAAGACCTCTCGAAGCATCCATCTTCGATGAAGATATCCAGTGGAGCGACAATGTCAAATATCTGGGGATCGTTTTTGACAAGTCCCTCACCTGGAAAGCGCACATAGAAGCTGTCATCGCAAAAACCAGAGCAGCCATGGCTCAACTCTATCCATTACTGGGTAGACACAGCCAGATGCCGCTAGCGACCAAGCTACGGCTGATCAAGGCCATCGCCAGACCTCAGCTCGCTTACGCCTCCGCGGTCTGGGGGTACGCTGCCCCCAGCTACCGCAAGCGACTTGCTGCTCTAGAGATGAAGCTACTCCGGATCGCCACCAATGCACCTTCCTACGTAAGGAACTCAACCTTGCGTAGAGACCTGCATTGGGATACCATCCACGAGTACATGAGGAAAAAAGCGGAGAAGACCTTCGAGAAAGCTCAGGACCACCCGAACGAGCAGCTACGATTCCTCATGGACTACGATCCGGACGAGAGGCCTCGCAACCGCAGAACCAGGTACCCCAGACCAAGGTCCCAGTTGGCACCCGCTAACTGGAACCTTGACTAGGAGACTAGGAGAATTTGCGGCTGCTCCCCCCCCCCCCCCCCCCCACGGCGTGGATGCAGAGGACCAGGAACCACCGGGACCAGGACCCACCGGGACCAGGACCAACCAGGACCAGGACCCGCCACGACCAGGACCCACCAGGACCAGGACCCTTCAGGACCAGGACCAGGAACAACATATTGGTAAGATGACTTGAAACTCTTGATTTTTCGAAAACAAGAGTTTCAAGAGAAACTAGCAGACCCTCTATCGATGATCGCTTAACGACATCGATAGAATGTGCGAGGTAAAGGGAACCAACCCGGCGTTCCCAGAGACTGAAACACATGAGGAGACGTTGTAGCAGACCGCAGGTCACGCACAACACATGGCCTACCGAGACGCTGATGAGTCGGGCCACGCGGAGGTTTAGGGTTTAGTGGGTATTAGGTGATCTCTTCAAGACCCTGGAGCCCCACACACGTCGTAGCTCGTGCTATGGTATGGTGCGTAAATGCATTCCCCCCTCGTTAAAAAAAAAAAAAAAAAAAAAAAAAAAAAAAAAAAAAAATCTCATCATTGAGGAGACGTTGTAGCAGACCGCAGGACACGCACAACACATGGCCTACCGAGACGCTGATGAGTCGGGCCACGCCGAGGTTTAGGGTTTAGTGGGTATTAGGTGATCTCTTCAAGACCCTGGAGCCCCACACACGCCGTAGCTCGTGCTATGGTATGGTGCGTAAATGCATTCCCCCCTCGTTAAAAAAAAAAAAAAAAAAAATCTCATCATTAAGCCATTTTTTTTGATAATCATAGCGGTGACCATTGATATTAGAAATCGCCATTTAGAATGCGCACGCATTTAGAATAATAATTTGATATTTGTATCATAGGAGTGACTATCGTAATTATGAACTCCATCTTGGGGCGGTCGCCATATTGAATTTAGAATGACGTTATTTTGCTTTCAGTATTGCTCTCATCAAGCCCTGCCATTTGACACCCATTTCATAGGGGTTGATATGGAAATGATGAATCGCCATTTTATAGCATCCACCATACTGGATTCAGAACGTGTGTACAACATGTCAACTCAGCTGGTTGAGGCTAACGGTTTCAAAATTCCGTTTCAAGATTTATCCCACAAATACATATTAACATATATATACTAAGTGACATATAAATCCGAACACCCAGTTTAAATGGTTTTATTTTAATAATAGTTGGTGAATGTATTTATCTTACTGTAAATAACAAGTGAAAAAATTTTCAGCCTTATCAGTTGGACATTCCGGTTTTTATACTGCTTTTCTTTTAATTCACTAACGCTCTAAAAATGAATATTTCAGCCGCAGTAAAGAATCAACGTTGGCGGATTTTGGTTCTTGACATCCTTTACGATCGGTTACGATGCCTAGAGTACGGAGACCTGTACGATTTCGTCAACTTAGTGAGTTTGATAGGGGCCGTATAGTGGGACTTCGGGAAGCTGGACTTTCTTTTCGGGCAATTGCAGTTAGAGTGCAAAGAAGTGTACACACTGTGGTTAGGTGTTGTCAGGCATGGCTTCGAGAAGGCCGTACGCAAAGAGCAAGGGGCACTGGACGCCGCCGTAGAACAACAGACCGTGAAGATCGCTGCCTAAGATTATTGGCCTTAAGGGACCGTTTCTCCACTACCAGGTCCATTGCAAATGAATGGTTTGCAGAACACGGAAGACCTATTGGCATGCGAAGTGTTTACCGACGAATGAGAAGTTTTGGCTTGTTTTCATACCGGCCACACTGGGTCCTCTCTTTAACTCGAGAACACCGACGTAATAGCCTTGAGTGGTGCAGACAACGGTCACTCTGGGATCAGGAATGGAACAGTATTGTCTTTAGTGACGAGTCTCGATTTTGTTTAGGCATGCACGATGGTCGTGCCAGGGTTAGAAGGCGACGTGGTGAAAGGAGGAATCCACAGTTTTTTGTTGAAAGACATGTTCATCACACTGTTGGAGTTATGGTTTGGGGTGCTATAGCTTATGGTTCCAGGCCACCTTTAATCTTCATCAGAGGTAACATGAACGCGCAACGTTATATCCACGAAGTTCTAGAACCCCATCTTTTACCCTATCTTGACACCCTGGCAGAACCAACTTTCCAACAAGATAATGCCCGACCACTTGTTGCAAGAGTCACAATAGACTTCTTTCAACATAATGATGTCACATTGATACCATGGCCACCAAGATCTTCCGACTTATCCACAATTGAGCACGTGTGGGATATGATGGGTAGGAGATTGCTCAATTTGCAACGTCCTCCTCAGACTCTAGAAGCACTTCGAGAGGAGTTGGTGGTTGCCTGGAATGAGATACCACAGGAGGACATTGACCACCTTATCAGAAGCATGCCTAGGCGCGTTGGAGAATGCGTAGCACATCAGGGTGCATCCACACATTATTAAAGGTCAAAGGGCTTTAAAGCAGTGCAATCATTTTGAAATTTTTATCACTTACTTATTATGCTTCATTAAGTACTTATACAAAATTTTATTAAAATAAAACCATTTAAACTGGGTGTTCGGATTTATATGTCACTTAGTATACAAATATTAATAAAAGCTCGTACCAAATTGGTCAAGTTAAATAGGAGCTTGTAAAAAGGCTTGCTACAGGTTGCGGTCGGAACGACGATGCAACACTTCGATGCTCACACTTCATAAATTGATATAATGATTTAGGTTCTTAGGAATCTTACAACTACAGTATAGGGAAAAAAGTACATTGCTGCGGATGTAGGAAAAAATATTTTGCTCAATTCCAGCACAAACTTTCGCCGATCTCGAAATATTACTGCGCTCCGCTTTGCGCCGTAATCAAAGGTATTTATCGATTAGCAAAACACTTTACGCTGATATAAGTACTTACTCAAAGAGTTTGTAGACATCAGAGCAATCATCTGGTAATAATATAGCCCTGTATAAAGTGAAGGGATGGCAAACAGAAGTGAGTGTCAAATTTGAGCTATATGTGAGGGCGCTCGTAGCAAAGAATAATGCTGAGATAAATAGACATCTATTATGGTTCCCCACACAGCAATCCAACCTAAAAATGAAATGAGGCATGTTTGGCTCTTTATAATCATAAAGTTAGTTATTTCATAGAACTGCACGCTTTTGAGTAAAGGGTTGCGATGAAATTCGGTAGGAGCAATTGAAGCCTCCAGAATGACTGAAGACAGAACAAAAGAAAATGCTGCTCCTTGCTGTTTAAAACTATGCCCGTGTTTACACAGTGGCTAGCTAACCACATAATCAAGCTGTTCCATACGCTAATACAGCTCTGTGCCAAAGAACATGGCACAGCACAAAGTCGTTTACGAGTACACTATAGACTAAATGATATATACGCACTTAAAAGTGCAAACTTTTTTTGGGTGCTTTATGTTTATTGTGCACAATATTTGATATTTACCTGTATTTTGTGACAATAAACAGTATTATTATTATTAAATCCAGCACTAGTGTCCATTGTCCATGTTTACTGTTTACCTCGTGCTGTGTTGCCAGATGTACAATAATTATCGTTTTTGTACAATCATTTTAAGTATTGTACGATGTGCGATACTATGTATATGATAATAAATGAAAGCACGATAATTCGGTTAACCAGTTTTTTTTTTAATTTAAGATGTTGAGATTCGTTCAATTTCCCATCATTTTCAAACCAACTTGCATATGAGTGAACTCTATCGTACCCTTCACGTTCACAACTCTACAGCCCCCCTTCAACTATCCATTCTTGAAGTATGTATGAGGCCTACCTCTCCACGCTCTCTCTTCTATTGTCGCCAACAGGCTGTTTAGGCGCCCTCTCAATATGGAAATCTACAAGAACAGTAATCCTGCGCCTTCTTCTAAATCGATTGGTCCACTCTACGCCACTGTATAAGATGATATATGATAATTTTGATGCACTTGTACGATTATTTTTCGTGACAGCGCTCGTTGGAAATGAGTTTGTATTACGCCATCTATTGGAACAGATCTGTGATAACGCATGGAATATAACAATTCCATGGTTAGCTAGCCACAGCCTATGTCGCTTACCACAAACAGTGTCTATCCCTGCTTGGCACTTTAATCTGGCAAATATTACAGCTCTTGAGCCTGTCTCCTTCTTTATCATTCCTACTACTTTCTACTATCATAAACAGCTGTTTTGTTCTCTTTTTCATTAAGCATACTGAGATCACAAAACCAAATATCAGCACACTCAGTGCAATATTTTCTTCTAACAAGATTTCCAAAAATGGAATCACAATGAATTCAAATATAAAATATAATACTGTGAGCGTAGTTATTGTCCACAAAAAGAAAAACTTTGTGTGTGGTATGTTTTTGATGAAAAATCTTGATATTAAGGTTAGAAATATCACAACTGTAGTAAAAGTAAAGATAGTCCACCATAAGCTCATTGAGGCTAACAATAGCATTGCAGGAATGATAAATATTGGTAGAATAGCATCGAAAGCTATCTGCTTAGCACCACCAGACCAAGGTATCCTCAATCGGTCTTGAATTGTAGCCATTAAAGTTGACTTCTGTTTATTGGATATTTGGCGAGATGATATCAAACTGTAAAGATAAAATGAATAATATACAGGGTGTCCAAGATAATGATAATTTGCATGGGGATTTTGAATACCTGTAGGAGATACAGTTCAAGTTAAATTAGGAAAAAGCTGCGTTCTTTTGGCCAAATCGTTTGTATTTCAATATATGATTACATGATTATGTGATTACTGATATATGCATATTTCATAATGATACATAATAATATGATGAGGTAAAAATTTATAAAATGGTGTTTAATCTTGTGTTATCAGAATAACGAATAGATGTTTACCATTATATTTATTTTATTCACAATAGGAGTTCAAATAAGTTGCCATTATTTTCCAAAGATAAATATGATCTTCTAACAGTAGAATTCAGAACATCACATAACATTTCTGGTGTAATCATATTAAAATCCAATACACCTTCCAGGAAATCACTGAAGAACTGGACGTACCATTCTGCAGATGAGTTTTTGTAAATAAATGGACCTAATATTTTGCTACCTAAAATTCCACACCACATATTTAACCCAAAACGTGCTTGATGTCTGGATACTTTTTTAGCCCACAGATTTTCTTGAGCTCAGTAATGAGTGTTGAAGCAACCAAAACAAATTATTAGTCGCCATACTCTCGTTGGATCATATTATTTTTGAAGGTATATCAAAAGCTTCATCACAGGTTCGTGTATACCACTCACAAAAATACTGGCGCTGTTCGCTATCCCCTGGTTTATGTCCTTGGAAAATCCCGAATTCACAGGAGTGATATCTATTTTTACTCAAAATAAATTGGGCTGTGGATTTGGAAACTCCTAAACTTTTCTCAATTTACCTAGTTGATATTTCACACTTCTCAGCAAATGCTTGTATAACACTATTCTGAGTTTTCTCTAAAGATATTTTTTTTCAAGACATAACAGGCTTTTTGAATGAACCATATTCATTTAAATTTGGAGCTAACTCTAAGAAAATATATTTACTTGACTGCCTTCTTTTTCAGGAAATTTATTAAGATATATTTCTGCAATATTTTTAGTATTTTTGTAGCACAAAATGTAGGATGCCCACATGTCGAACTTTTCTTCATTGCTAAAATGACCACCTGGCAACTGTCATGATAATAAAATATTAACAATACACAATAATAACAATGCTTGGTGACAGGTATTTACGTCACAGCATTTGTTTGTAAAGCCAACTTTAAAAAATAAAATTAGAAAAAACGCATTAGTCCTTATAACTAAGAAAATGCTATTAGATACAAAATTTACTTTTTTTTTAAAGTTGATGATTTTTCAAAAACAAACACCATCCTGTAGTGCATAAAAGGGGCCAATGGGAAAGTTTCATTAGTTTTTTATATTCCTTTAAAATAAAGTCAGAAAAAAATAAAAATAATTTGACCAAATTGTAGTTGTTCCCAAATATCTCAGTAAGCCATAACATGTTTACAAGTTTTTCAACAGCATGTAAATATGCCCACTTTTCCCTAATTTAGCCTAATCTGTATCTCCCACAGGTATTGAGATCCCCATGCATAGGATCCTTATCTTGAACACCCTGTATACTAAAAATACAGTAAACAATTGGAAAGAGATATAAATTGTAGTAGTCCGGCCTTGATGATGCTCATACTGTAAATGCAGTAATTTCTATTAAAGAAATTTGAAAAGCTAGCTACGAAAGTGCTGAAATTAATGACAGAAATAAAATATACTTATTGTTTATTTGTAGTTGGCAATTACAACTGGTTATAGGAGCACAAACTCTATCTACTCCCCCTTGTTCTGGATTCTGACACACAGTATGTCATGTGCATCATCTCATAAATGCCTCTGACTCAAATTAGCAACTGACAAGTATAATTTAATGATATATGTATATTTTTGCCAATGTACTTTGATCATGTTCCATACCTTATGGACAAAATCGCATATATTTTATAGAAATGTACCTGAAAGTTACCCTGTGGTTTTCGTGCTATAATTCTCCATGTTTTTTGACCACTAAAAGAATCCACATAATTATGTATGCTTATGCTTTTTACTAATGTTTTGGCCATCTTGGTACATATGTGGTTTCATTTAACGGCCAAAATGACACTGAAAGGACTGTTTTTCACACTACACACATATAAATAAATGTAAAGGTATATTCCAATGATCACTGATTCAATGAGATTCTAAGGAAACAATAGCACAAACAGAAAACAGCGCAGTATTATTATTACTACTAATACTACTACTAGAAGAGCATTATAAAATTACCAATACATATCTTGTATCTTATCATGTAAGATGTATGGAAATATATAATGATAAGACTGTAAACTTCTAGGCATATTGTGGTACCTAATAACGTAAGTGCAGCCGAAGTTTCCAATTAAACAATTGATGAACTATGGATTTTCTACCTAGTAAAAGCCTCGTCTAGAGCGTCGCAATAACAACAGCATGTGAAAATGTGGTTTCTTTCTTGGTCCATATCATAATATTCGCAACAGCATAGAGGAGTGACATCAGACATCACGTTTTCAATCGATTTGTTCGATAAAATTCTTCATTTGAAAAGACTAAAGGATGCTGTTAACCTCAATAATCAAAACATCAAAACAAACAAAAAAAGGGTGGATAGGGAAAAACAAGTGAGTGGGTATAACGCGACATCTACTGATGGTATATCGAAGCACCAAGTTTGTCATGTGAAGTGCTGGAATTGTGATGTCTGACCAATCTAGTTCATCACATTACCACAGCACATTCCACATATTTTGTGTTCCACATTATGCCGGCTTCTCACTGCGCGTGTTGACCCGCGCCACGCCGCGCCGGCACGCGCCTCGCGCAGTGTGAAGAGCTTGGCGCGGGCAGGCGCGGCGTGGCGCGACCTATCCGCTAAAAGTCGGTAACTTCAAAGGCGCGGCGCGGCGTGTACCTACCCAGACAGACGAACACGATTGAACTCGTTCATTTCATTTTGACTCGTCCTACGTTGAGGTACTGTGGTGAATATGGAGTGGCCGAATGAAACGATCGCCGAATTTTTAACTTTGTATGAAGGCGAACCCTCTCTGTGGAATTCGAAAAATGCGGAGCATAAAAACAAAAACGACCAGCATGATGCCTGGCTGCGAATTAAACAGAATTTAAAAGGTGGTACCATACCGTTACAAGAAATTAAAAAGAAAAGGGATTCTTTAATGGGAACCTATAGAAAATTAAGAAGTAAAGTTTGCCAATCAATAAAGTCTGGCAGCGGTGCTGATGAAATCTATAAGCCTGACTGGCCATTTTATAATGTGATGGCCCAATTTTTGAATGATGTGTATACTCCAAAGAAAACGAAGGATTCTGAGGTAAGTACTTTATTTACTTAAAAAATTAATAATTATTTTGCCAGGCAACCGCACCGTTTGTTATAAAATATTCTGCAAGCTGGTCTCTTATATTCTTGGCGGAAAGAGGTGCTCTTCTTGGCCGATTTTGGAGTTGTAGTAGGGAAGCAACTCCATTTTGGTCATCACGCCAAGAACCGGGCTGAATCTCGCCATCATCATTTTCGGTATCAAAGGATCCAGGAGGGGTATATATAAGTCTAGACCTTTTAGACCGTCTCAAAAAATTGTGTAACAATGCACATGTCATCACAATATCAGTTACAATATCTGGTTGTAAAAGCATGGGTTTTCTTAGTACTCTAAACACCGCAGACATAATGCCAAAGACATTTTCAACAATCCGTCGAGCTCGTGAAAGGCGGTAATTAAACACGCGTTCTTTAGATCCCTTATTATGAGTTCCAGCGTAAGGTTTCATCATATTTTCCGTTAGAGCAAATGCACTGTCTGCAACAAATACGTAAGGTAGAGGTGTTACTTTCAGCGGTAAGCAGTCTGGCGGTGGAAAACCCAATTCCTTTCTACAGATTTGTTTATATAAGTTGGTGTTTCTGTATACACCACCATCGCTTATTCGGCCCTGGCACCCACAATCCACAAAAATAAAATTGTAATCCGCGTCGACTAAAGCCATTAATACAACACTGAATGTTTTGTGATAGTTGATAAACTCAGATCCACTATGAATCGGACTTTGTATTAGCACATGTTTTCCGTCGATAGCTCCTAAGCAGTGAGGAAAATTCCAAGTTCTGCGGAATCCTTTCTCTATCCTTAACCAGTCAGATGATGTCCGTGGCAGCTAAAACAAATAGAAATATTGTAAATTATCATGAATATTTCTTATTTTTAGGTCACTGACGACATAGAAGAAATAGAAGATAACCGTGATTTAGATGCCTCTGAAGATAGTAAACAGGATGATGAAGAATCAGTTCAATTTAAAAGACCAAAACCTCTTCCTAAAAAACGTGCTAAAAATATTGATATAGAAAATAAAATTAACGAAGCATACGACTATATAAAACAAATGACTCAAAAACCCCAAATCCCGCAAGATGAATGTTCATTATACACACAATTATTGTGCAAAAAATTGAGAGGCTTACCAGAAAATACACGTGAAATAGCGATGTTGGAAATTGATAGATTGATTTTCAATCTGAAGCAAAAAGAACTATCGTCAAACCCACATGCACAAATACTAATCAACCCACCACAGCCCACGAATTTTGGACATTCCGGCAATCTCTACTATCAGCCATCCACATCCTACCATCCATATCCTTCTCCACAGCAATCCCCAACCTATCATCCATCGCCTTCTTCACAGTCATCCCCAAACTATCATCCATCGCCTTCTCCACAGCAATCCCCAACCTATCATCCATCGCCTTCTTCACAGTCATCCCCAAACTATCATCCATCGCCTTCTCCACAGCCATCCCCAACCTATCATCCATCGCCTTCTTCACAGCCATCCCCAACCTATCATTCATTATCTTCTCCACAGCCATCCCCAAACTATCCATCTCCACAGCTGTCGCAAGTCGAAACATCAGCTTCGCAAAGTCTATTAAAAGATTTATATGAAGAGGAGGGTAGTAATTTAGTTTAAATGGATGATGTCAATTTCTATTTGTTTACGATTTGAAAAAAATAAATGCTTAATTCTACTACTTACTTTTATTTCTTGTGATAGTTCTTTTATCAATGCTTTAAAAACGTCCGTGACACAACTTGAAACTGTTTGGATAGATACTTTGAAAAGATATGAAAGGCTTGTGTAACTATCTCCGGTTGCTAAAAATCTGAGAGCAATTGCAAACCGTTCTTGTACTGGAATACATTTTCTCATATGGGTATCTTGTTTTGCAATGATAGGGCCTATTTTATTCATTAGATAGTTGTAATCTTCTGGTGCCATTCTACAGAAGTTCTCAAATTTTCTGCTCGGTTCTTTAACAAAATCCGATAGCATATCTGATCCATTGTATCTGAAACAAAAATACAATAATTTTTACTAAATTTTCCGGCAGCAAAGTTTCATTTTAAAACGCGCCAAACTTACCAATAGATACCATCAAATATATTGATAGGATTCTTAAAAATTACGTACCTATGTAATTATCTCAAAATACAAACAATGATTACCTTGACCGGCTCTTATTGAACGTTGACATCCACCAGCGTCTCCTCTTCTTGTTTTTGTTAATTTTATTAAGTAAACGATATCCACAAAATAAGACAAAAACGGCTGATGCAACAGCCATGCCTTCTTCTTCAGTGGCATTGCTCCATGGCTGGAGGTGGCAATTCGACTCACAAGACATAGTGCGCTGCGCTAAACAGACTGAATCAAACTGAGGTGTAAAGCCAGAAGGCACGCGCCGCGCCGCGCCGCACAAACGGGTGGCGCGGCGTGTCGCGTGGCGTGTTCTTGCGCGTGGAGCGGCGCGACGCGTAGTAGCACGCGTAGTGAGAAGCCACCATTACATGATACATGTTGATTGAGGTTATGTAAACGTAATTAAACAGAGTTTAAATTTTTTTATTGTTCGAATTAGTAGCTGTTAGGAGCCGGAATATTTACGTATAATGATTCTATTTTATTCAACTGCGACTAGTTAACTATGGTGAGAATTAAAAACAGGTGGGTATACAAAACGTTTGTTTTTGCATCTAAACTATTATGTTGTATTTCCTCAGATACTTGGTGTTACAAATCACTGAGCTAGGCAAGGATGAGGCAACTTCAAAGCTACAACTACGTGCCCATTCTCTCTATGAAACCATAATTTCCAAATTACAGCAGTTGCATGGAGATTTTGGAGTAGCTACTTGTAGAGGAGGCCTAACAGCAAAATACTGCAATGAAGATACGAGGATAGCCGTTGTGCGCGCGAGACATGGGCCTCATAAGCTGGTAGCCAGTTGTATTCCTTTCATAAGATTGATTGATGGAAAAGGAGTGACTGTTAATATTCTGTATGTTGGTGCAACAATACGACAGTGTTTCAAGTTCTTGAAGAATTACCAACAGAAGAAGTTCAATGAGTATTATATGTCTTTGAAGAGTGAGGAAGAAAAGAAAGCATTGAGACAGTCGGTGTTGAATTTTGAAACTGTTCTAGAGAAACTCTAATAAATGGGTAAAATTCTATCGAATGTAAATTCCGCGTTTTGTGGTGTAAATAAATTATTTGGTTAATCCCATCACTATTCTTCTGACCATCTATAGTTTATATTTGAATCACTAGATGTCGTGAAATAGATCTATCTTCACCAAATGACGCCATCTTGCAGCTGCCAAACTGACACGTCTACACGTGCATTTGACAGTTATGCTTTGACATTCCTCAGGCTGTGGATAACCTTAAACCTTAGTGTTGAAAAGATGATTTTTCGGAGAAAAACTACTATTTCTTCATATCGCTGCAGTCAAAAAAAATCGACATGAAGGTGGTTTACCAAAATATAGGCAAAGATGGGGATGGGTAAGTAAAATTATCTCTGATTTAACAAAAACCTGGACAAGGTTATGTCACTCCAAACACTTGCTGCATCATAAAAGACTGGAATTATTTACGATATGTTTAATCGCCACATTCTTGTAGATTTCTGCCAAATTTCATTCTGGGAAATTCTTAGATTTTTCTGGCACCTCGCACAACTCTCACTTTTTGTTAAACATTAAAAATATTTATATTAAATATTATGACTATTCAATAAAAGAACTAGATACTCGCAAATAATGAAGGGTCGTCCTAATACCCATTTATACAATAATAATGCCTTTATTGTATCTCTATGTTGCACTAAGAGCTGCTTATTGCAGTTCAGCTTCTGTATGTAGTTAGTCTACTTAACATTTTTCATCCAATGAATCACTCAGGAATAATGATGAGATATTTTAATACCCACTTACTTCATATTAGTGCCAGACTACCAATACTCTGTCAGCCAATTGACCACATACTACATTACTTTCTTTGTACTAAGGAGTAATTTTTGGTTGTCTAGGAGTGTGGCTCTTATCCCTGAGGAACCAGAAGACATGTGGCATGCATACAACCTCATCTCTGAAGGGGATTCTGTTAGGGCTACAACCATTAGAAAGGTGCAAACAGAATCTTCGACAGGTTCATCTACATCAAACAGAATTAGAACCACCTTGACAATCAGTGTGGAGAACATTGATTTTGATACTCAAGCATGCATGCTCAGGCTCAAGGGAAGGAATATTGAAGAAAACCAGTATGTCAAGGTAAAGTTCACTAAATGGTAAAAACAATATTAAGCATTTTTTTATGCATTTTGAAATGCTGTACTTTCTTTTGTTACTTCTTCCGGACTGTCTGGTATCTGGGAAATCAAACCTGATAGACTTTACTGACTTTAGCCAAAACCTATAGATGTGATTTGCATATTTTTTTGCTTTTTTTTTAAGATGGGTGCCTATCACACCCTGGATCTAGAGCTAAACAGAAAGTTCATCTTGCGGAAACAAGAATGGGACTCTGTAAGTCTAGAACGTATTGAGCAGGCTAGTGATCCAGCAAAAAGTGCTGATGTAGCTGCAGTTGTTATGCAAGAGGGACTTGCATATGTTTGTCTTATCACCTCTAGCATGACTATAGTTCGAGCCAAAATAGATGTTTTGATACCTAGAAAGAGGAAAGGTTGTGTTCAGCAACATGAAAAGGTGAATATTTATAATTGAATAAGTCAGTTTATTATTTTTTATTCACTTATAAATTGTTTAAGTGTTTTAAGCTATCAATATTTGATTGTTTCACCGCTGGTATGCCATGGTTTCAGCAGACAGTCACGGAGTTGCCAGAAGCTGGGTATACATTTTTATGAGTGAGCTTGATTACTTTATTGCACTTTTTAAACAATAAAAATTTAGAATAAACTTGACTTCAGGGCATTATTTCACCAAATAACTGCTAGCGATATCACATGATGATGAGGAATGACTCGGAACACTTTTATAAATCCCAACTATCATCTATGTATATTTTTTAGGCGCTGTTGAAATTCTATGACCAAGTGATGCAAGCAATCTTAAGGCATGTCAATTTTGACATAGTGAAATGTGTTCTCATAGCATCACCAGGCTTCGTCAGGGACCAGTTTTATGATTACATGTTTCAAACTGCCATCAAAACTGATAACAAACTGCTGTTAGATAACAAGTCCAAATTTATGCTCGTACATTCGTCTTCCGGTTTCAAGCATTCTCTCAAAGGTACCATTTATCAAAAAAAGTCACATAGTACATTCACTCTATAGTTCAAGCCAATACCCAACTACGTAGTAGTTGTGACTGAAAAGCTTTTTTTTTAGCAGCAATAAAAAGCGGAACTTCGGCTGAAGCAACCGCTTTAATTGTAACAGAAAAAAAACTTGTTTGGAAAATTGGTGGCTGAATGTAAAATGTTTTTGTATGAGTGATTCTACTACTAGTGTCTATAGATGTTACTCAAACTGTTGGTTAACATATTTTCTAAGTAGATGCCCAATCCTGTGCTGAATTTGGAGCGACACTGCTATGTTGCTTTGTAGAATCGCGGTAATTCCCATAGAAATAATAAAAGCAAACTTAATTTACCTTTCAAAGGAAAACATCAACCTTCTTATTAATGATCACCCCTCCACCTACCATGACTATTCCTAGGCCCAAAGTAATCTCATAACATGTGGCAATGGTTCAAGAGGTGACCACGTTGACAGCTTAAGATGGTGGTTGACACATATAGGGTGTCTCTAAAGTTGTGACTTTCCTTGTGTGAAACAGCTAGTTTGAAATAACAGAGCTAATGTGTATTAAAACAGTATCGAAATCATGATAATAAAGAAGTCGAAGAAAAGCACACCCCATTCATTTGAAAAACAAATTACAAGTACTGCCCTCTTAAAGTTTGTTTGTGAATACTGGTTGATGCCATCCAATCTGACAACACATGTTTTTTTAACTTCAACCTAAATTTGCAACATTTGTAGCTGTTCAGGTCTTCGACAATATTCACCTCGACCGCCATTGCACGGTATTATCAGAGCTACGTGGCTTGGGACAGAAACATCCAGAAAATGATTTCAATACTCTCGCGAAATATCAATAGTCTCTTGAAGACTCCCAACATAAACTAAAATTAAATCGATAACTTTGTTATTGCTATAGGAAGGTTTTTCAAATCCGAATTGTAAATAAGCTAAGTTACCTACAGACTACACGGCGCGTATTGGATACTGATGCACATAATACCACAATGCATTGTACCTTCTCACGTAAGATGCAGGGTCGGTGTGGTTAATTCGAATTTTTTGTAACTTAATATCTCGCTTATCTTAAGACTTTCGTGTATGTTTTAACTTTACGGACATAGAGTAAGCATAGTAGTTGATGGCGCCGCGGTACGTGGTGTATCTTTGCAAAGGCATGCCCTTCAATTGGCTTGGGTATCTTCTGGTGGAATACGTTAATCAATGCTCAAACAGAAAAACTGAATGCTTATAGGGCATATTTTTCAGAGGTTCTACAGGATCCTAGTGTGATGAACAAGATCTCAGACACTAAAGCTGCTAGTGAAGTGAAGATCATGGAGACCTTCTACACGATGCTACAGTGTGAACCTGCCAAAGCTTTTTATGGCAAAAAACATGTACTCAAAGCCAATGAAGCACAAGCTGTTGAGACACTGATGATTTCTGATAAGTTATTCAGGTAAGCGACACGCTTACATTCAAGGTAATGACGACAATCTTAAGATGAAGTTTCCAGCAAATTGTCAGGCACACAACATGCGTATCATTAATGATATTTACTAAAGAATATTGATTTTATGAAGATGGGAATGGGGCTTTTTTAGGTGCACAGATGTAAGTGAACGTAAGGAATATGTAAGATTGGTCGACTCTGTAAAGGAAAATGGCGGTGATGTGAAGATATTTTCTAGTCTTCATGTGTCTGGAGAACGTAAGTGGATTATGAAATTTTTATTCAACTGATCAAATCTTTAAATGTAATTTTTTTATTGTAGAAGCAAAATACAATATTTTCACAATAAATTGAGTCACATCTAATCATAAGTCCCAATCAAGTCATAGATGCGTACCTCAAACTGTTCAGTCTTTCCTAAGCATTTTTGCGAGTTGTTTTACATAAAGGGATTAGGAAAGTTTTGGTATGGAATAAGAACGAATTAATCAAAATAGCTGCTAACGATCATGACTACACTTCAAGATAGCTTACTTAGTATTTCAATTGACTCAATTGTTACCAGATGAGATACATCCTATTTTGTAATCAGAAAATTGTCCGAAATGAAAAGAAGTATTATGACGTATCTATAAGAATTTGTTTCTCCTTAAAAGGTACCTTTCTCATGCATGGTGCTGTAGCCAACTATATGAGCATATAGATCTATGAGACATTAACCTTTAAAAAATGGATTTCTAATTATTGCGGAGAGGAGAACCATAGCTGTGACAGATTGTCTTAGATGACGCCATGTTATCTCATTTCATGTCGGATAATTTTTTGGACTCCAAAATACAGTATTAGGTTGGCTATCCTGAGGTAGAAAATGATAATCAGTGGTACTGGGTTTAATCAGATTTGGTGAAAATATTTCTGATATTCTACCATATTTACTATTGCCAACATTTCTAAATTAACACAATGGACACTAGAATGGAAGTCAAAATGTGTCGGAGTATCTTGGTAATAGTTTGCCGTTTTTACATAATTTTTGACCTGTAAAATTGTGCCCCTTCGTATTCGTTCTAAAATAATTCAATAAGTCACAAAAATCAGCTTGTCCAAAAATCCTATGATACGCTGAAAGATTTTTGACTTTTTTGTTATTCCTCTAGAACTGGACCAGTTGACAGGAATAGCCGCCATTTTGCGATTTCCGATGCCCGAGCTCGAAGATAGCGACGACAGCGACGAAGAGAAAGAAACAGAAGATACTAATAAGTGATCTTTTCAGCTAATCTGACCTGCTTTCTAGTGCTTTGTGGCGCTTCCAAACTACTCTAGCAAATGTGCATGGAAACGCAATCGATCTTTGATATGGGGGTGGGGTGACACACTTATTAAATGAGTAGTTGATATGTTGGATTGGTATAAACAGGAATTGAGCTCTACAATTGGTTAACTTATTCTACCTGAAGATACAAAATTCAGTTGGCAGACATGCCTACGCGAATATAAGTATATGTACAGTAAAGCTATATACGAGTTTTTGTCGACAATCGTCTTTAGGTGTCAGCTCTCGTAGTGTTGCTGCAGTTTATGGGGACATTCTGAGGATACAAAATTTGGAAATAATTACGGGGGAGGTTGAGGAATAATCTTTCCTTAGAAGATTGATGCCTTGCACAAATAACATAAACAATAAACAATTTTCCTCACAAGGAAAATGAGGTCTTTAATGCTCGAAGGATACGGGAAATACTGCAATCCTATTTGGCAACGTTGTCTGTATGTGTACGCCCGAACACAGCATATGGTTGGACATCTTGGAGAATACGTTAATCAATGGTTACTCCGAGGAACTCCTGAATCACTGGATGGCAGATCTCATGCGTTGAACCATTAATAATTGGCGACTGTATGAGGAAAGGGGTACATGTTACAAATGTTGAAGCCGAGATAAGAGGTCGAAAATATGTTATTTGTGAAGTTTGCGAAACTTAAAATGTACAGTAATCTAAACGCTAAAAGGTATGTTTATATGTTTATTATAACCAAATACTACATTTTTTGTGAAAAAATATTGTACTACAAAACATATAAAAGAAAAAAAATTACTTATACCACTTTTCACAAAAGATTTTCATTGACAATGCAGTAGCAGTGTTTCACTCATTATCAGAAGATGATTCGGATGTATCCGGCAAAGTATTTCTTGCGTCCTCGGTGGTTACTAAGTTTTCATAAAACTTGTGGAAGGTTATATTGACGTACGGAAGCAGCTCCCTCAAATTTTGTTTTTTCAACATACTTATGGGATTGGGTCCTGTATAGGAGGCAGGTAAATTTATCTTATTTGGCCAAACCTACCCTTTCTCATAAAATTTATTATCTGGAATGGTTCTTCCTTGCTCAAGCTTTTCTTATACATGACTTGTCCAGGTGTCTTTGTATACCTGAGCCATTTTATTTCACTCCAGACTACTTTTTCTCCATTTGTGTTCACTCTTCTTTGCTGGAATACACCTTTTAAGAGAGCCGAAAACTCCAAAAAATCACTCGTACTCATTTCTGAGACTGAATGGTTTTTTAGTGCCACACAGCCTGACAAAGTTCATCCAGTCTCTTGGATGTTCTATCGGACAAGGATAATGCTTCTTCTTTTCAATAATAGAATGATCAGTGTCACATTCCTTATGCGTGTGTCCAAGAATCAGGAATTTGTGATCAATTTCTTCAATGTTAGGTTTTTCTTTCAGAGCCAGCATAAACATGACGGATAGATAACAGTTTTTGTTTTGGCCGGCACATGTGTCTGAGTAAAATGTCAGACTTTTTACTGTGTCAGGGGGATCTCTTTAATGTGTTTAAACAAGCGAGAGGCGATCTGATTCCCTCCTCTTGCTGCTAAACCCTCGTGCCACATAAAACAAAAGGCTTGCGGATCATTGCACCTGTGGAGGGTAAGATTATATGTCCACAATTGCCTTTTGTAAAAGGCGATCGATGTCTGAATATCAGGAGTAGGTAGGCACTGTTGCAAGTCAAAGGCGTAGACGTCTTTTGATGGATCGCGAGATGCAATCTCCTTGTCATTACGTTTCGCTGCAATTGCGGCTTCTGATTCTTCATGATGTTTCGCTAATTGAGCTTCTAGATCTTTCTGCTTATCACTATCGGAAGCAATGTTCATGCACATCTTCAACTTGTCACATTTTGCACATGTGTCTTTTTAGGCATCTTTATTTTGACATTCATAGAGTGAAATACTCTTTGATAAATAAACCGGGATACTGGTTTTTCGCTGGAGGGCAGCCATTTAAGGTATTCCTCGTATAGCCGAGCTAGTGTATAATGATGTGGCAAATATCTTACAGATGACTGTTTTCTGCTATAATGACTTTCGTAGGATGGAACTGCCTGGATATGTTGCTTGACGCGATCTAAACTGCCATCAGGAGTCTTATTTGCTGGATCAGACAGACCGCGTTTATAATCATGACATATTCCTGACTCAGAGCCGCCTTTGTTTTTCAAAACATTGCTTACGAATCTGTTAGTTTCGTCGAAAGTCATCAGAAAACATGCCTTACATACTTTCACACGGTCGCTAGCTATAGGCAGATGAAAAGTAAGCATGACAAGCCTATTTTTCTGTTTGTTTGTATTCTCTAGCTTTCGTTTTGTGCATTTTTTAGCTGCTGTTGTTGTTAGGCCAGCAATGAATGACGCTCGTTTATAGAAATTACTCACATTCCAATAATCTCGAAAAAGAGAGTGCCTTCTTTCTTTGTCTATCCTTTTTCCACATTAAAGCTTACAATTTCCTAAGTCCCTAAATCTTCTTGCCTGTACTGTTTCTCCATTTTTAGTTGTGTACTCTAAACCTAAGTTTCGTTTCTCTTTCCTTTCCTTTCTTACTAATCTGGTTTCATTCTTGATAGACGTTTTTTGCTTTCTCACTTTTAAAGAATGTGCATCGGGATTTCTTTCTTCTGATGTGTCATTTTTCTTACTGCTTGTACTGCTTTTCTTTTTCTCCAAGTTTGCACCCCTTTTCTTACGTTTACGCTTTGGCTCATAATGTTCTTTCTCTTTTACGGTTGAACACGCTGAGGAGCCTTCTGAATCCAAATCCTCATCTTCAGGAACATACTCCTTATCGAGATCGCTATCATCTTGGAATTCTTCACCTTCAAAGCTGACGACGGATGTAGTCTCACCATGAGTTTCATTTAAAGCTGGGTCTCTATTTTCGGTCAACATCGTGCGGTTTTCTTCTGAAGTACATTCCATTGCTGAAAAATACTAATTATTACTGTCACGAAACTGTAAGCTCAGATTATACTTACCAAGGTTCAGTTGCTTTTGTTCGATAGTTGCATCTGAAATTTGACACTCATTTTGAGTCATGGCTACGTGACTGTCATCACATACTAGGTCCGCTGTACTAGCAAGCAGAGCAATGTTTTCTTCTGGGGCCGTATTAATTTCTACAACAAAAGCAAAATTGATTTATCGATTATAAAATAGCAAGTATCATTCTGCAACTTTCCAGGAGTAAAACTATCTTTATTTAATACTAACCAACATTGGTTAACCAGGAAAACACTTTGCTGAAACCATCATTTTCGCCCAGATCCATAGCAAGATCTGCTTCATTTGTTTGTACTTGGCTACTGGTCTCTGCCTGTTCATGATTACTGGTATTTATGTTATTTGTAGGAATCCTCATTGAATTCTTAGACATATCAAGCCCTGCAGCAGCCATGTTTGCGTCTGTAAGATGTGAACAGTATTTTGAATTGAAAAATAATGTACACATTAAATCAGAGAAAGAAATTGGATTAAACCAAATTTTCTTGCACCTCCTATGTATTAATATCACACATGGTGGGCCAGATAGAGCGGTTCAATTTTTGTTTAATTTTTTTTTTGTAAAAGAGGTCACAACGACTAATCTTGCTTGAACAACTATACTTCTAATGTTCGGGAGCTAGGATTTTTTGCATATTATCGATTTTTCGATACCAGTTATAGTACATTACAACTCGGAACTAGCTCTTCTATCCTTAAGGAATGATAAATTATGGATCCGAAAATTTAAAATAATAACACAAGATAAGTACAAACGGCAAATATCATACATTGGCGTGATACCTACATGACTACTTAACATGCATACCAAATTTCATACCATTTGGCCGAACAGTTTTTAAATTTGTGTGACCGGAATCACGAAAATCGAAACCATACAGAAAATTCTAGCTCCCGCACTATTGATTTTAGAGGCACGGTATTTAAGCGACATGAGCTTTTATGACTTATTTTACAAAAAAAAATTGGACCCCTATGATTGGCCCACCCTGTATACATAATCCCTTGTTTACAAAGCCGTCGATGGGGTATAAGTCGAAAAATGGATTTAATTATATGCCTATCTCAAATAACTTCTACCTAATAAATCAACAAACATTATACTTCACCAGGATTTTGTATAATAATATCGTTAATTTTGGTATACCCAATTGATTTTTATACTTATACCCCTTTCCTCGTACATAAGTTGTCTCGAATTTTCACATAAAGCACCCAAATAACTACTATGAATCACATAGGATGTAAATGATGACAAGCAAAACTTATTTTACTCTACTTACCGTACTTTATCTCCTCACCGGTAGCTGGACCTTTATTTTGCTCCAGTAGGTCAAAAATACGCTTACACCGTTGGGAATACATAACCTCAAATACGGGCACGTCTCCCTTGATACACTGCTAGAATGTGGTCAACACGTGGCCGCGAATAATGTGAAAAGGGGTATATGTAGAATTACTTCTTGGCGCCAAACTATTGTGATTTGTGGAATGAGGTACAAGTACACTTATTGCTCTTTTCTCGAAAATTATTAACCACTATGGTTATCATACTTTAAGGGGCAAGGAAAATAATGGTACTTATTTCTCTTTCCACAAGTAAGGCGGGACAACGATATGTGACATAAGTATAGATATGTCGCTTTTCACGAACTTCCAAAGGAAACAAATTTTAATTGCTCCGCATAAGTGAACTTAACTCCCTCTGCACAAAAGTGTCAAGTAAAAGTTTGAAGGCAAAATATCACTTATACCCATTCGCACATGTCGAAACAAGGTATTTAGGAAGACCATACAGTTATATCCATTTTCACGTAACTGTGTTGATTAGCTATGAAGTATTTGGTGTATTTATCCCATTTTTGCCATTTTTTTACTTATACCACTTTCCCCATACAGTCGCCAATTGTGAATTAAGAGAGGTTTTAATAGTGTGTGGCTATTATGATTGTTCATAATTGGAAACACATTAAAGTGTTACGTGTACATTTTTGTGAGGTATATGTGCTAATTTATTTATATAAGATTTGATTGAATAAATGGAATTTTGTTAAGCACGTTTTTTATAATTCGAACCCGCTTTTTAGAAAATGTTAATAGGCATTTTAAAGCTTCCCACCACGGATTTATCGAAAACCACTAATTAAAGGAAAAAATGCCGACACGAAAAAAGATTTGTCAAGCGGGGAGAACTTTTTAACCAAAAACTAATTCACCCATTTTCACCCTCTACCTTCCAGGGTCATCCCCTTAAAATTTTTAAATGACAAGGGGTATCGAGTAGTAGCTTGTTTGAAAGGTCTTCCGAAGTCATTTATTTAGACGTTTCCTTTTTTAAAATCGGTCGATTCGTTTCCAAGAAAATTGGAAAAATCGTTATTTATCTTAATTTGTTCAGATAGAAATAAAAACTCGAAAATATCACTTTTGATTTCGATAAGTATTCAAAATGTTTCCCGTTAGGGTTTGCCAAATATACAATTTGTTTATAATTTAAAATGGAAACTTCCAACATAAACAGCAATTCGGAAGATTCGACTTGGCGAACAACCAAATAACAACCCAATTTTCCGCAATCTTTTCATCGACACATATCCTGGGCGACCTGTATTTATTGTTATACCTGTTTAGTTATTTGTTGCTAAGGGAAAGAAAGAATTTAATTTGCTGTTAGTTACCTTTGTGATAATTTTGGGATAGCGAAAATGAATTTATTGATTTAGATTTTACTTCCAAAATGATTTACATACTAGCCGAAAGAGTGGAAATGATTCTAATTTATGGGGCCCAAAATCAATGTGCTCGGCAAACTGCCGTCACGTTTAACTCCAGAGATCCGGGTAAGGTAACTTCGTTTAAGTATGTTTTGGACCTTGTTCCTAAATTTACTCAAACTGGGTCTGTTGCAAATAAAAACCGTCATCATTGGAGAATTTCGGATGAAGCCGCTCATGTTGAAGTTTTGGGTCATTTTTGGAATAAATAAACTTCGTTACTCCCCAACCTGAAAGTTTGGATGACCTTCGTCAACGCATCATCAAAAGCTGCCATGCTTTTTAAAATTGTGCGTCAGGAATTTGAACATCGCCTATATCAACGTTTGACCAATAACGGGCAACATTTTGAACACTTATAGAAATAAAAAGTGATATTTTCGTGATTTTCTGTCTTCTATCTGAACAAATTAAGATAAATAAAGGTTTTTCTATTTTGCTTGAAAACGACTCGACCATTTTTAAAAAACAAACGACAAAATGAAGAACTTTCAGACAAGCTATTACTTCATAACCCCTTATCATTTAAAATTTTTAAGGGGATGAGCCTGGGGCAGTGGCGAAGCGTCCATGTAACCATTGTTACCATCGGTAACAGTTAAAAATGTTAAAAATAAATAATTTATGACTACTGTGAAATAATTTTATTCATTTGTTTACCCAGCAATATGTACTAGTAATAGGCTATTTGACTAATTTTGCAAAATCATTTTAAATTATTCTTTTATATATAATGAGCACACTACATGAATATTTCCTGAAAATCTATACTATTTTTAATAGAAATCAAATTTAAAGTTTGAATTTTTAGAACCGCGCCAAAAACGCTATTCCTGTGATGGCGCCGGCAGATGACGTCTGTGACGTCACGCGCCAGTAAACACGATTACGAGCTGTCAGCCGAAGTTAATTTCTGTGCTTGATTTTGCTATAAAATCATAGATAAAATGGTCTATAAATGGTGTGTAGTGCCAAAATGTACGAATACGTCTATAAATAGTCCACAAACATTGTTTGTTTCTGTTCCAACCGATTGTAAAAGACGAAAAAAGTGGTTACTATTAGCTCGGAGAGACCCAAAGGGCATTTCATCGACTTCAAATGTATTTATGTGTGAAGATCACTTCGATGTAAGTATAAATTGAATATGTTATCTACTAGGTAGCTTAAATTACCGCTTTTTTTAAGATTGAAATAATATATAACTATCTATAACCTCAAATGTATCTTTGGTTATGTTGAGGATAAGTCAGTGTTGAGGATCAAAGATCCTGTTTATTAACCCTAAACTTATTACTCTGTAGGGTTTCAAAATGTTTTCTGTTGTTGTGATTATATTAGCTACCTACATATCTCAATAATTTTCTATGCTGTGTCATTTTACCTACTTTGCTTATTAGATAGTGATAGTTATGTTGAATTGCAGATGGAAAAAGACACCATTAACTACATGCAGTACAAAATGGGTTTCAGAAAGAAGATACTTTTGACAGAAGATGCTGTGCCAACAAAATTTCATTGTCAAGAAGATCGTAAAAGACCACTGTCTGATGCTGGACTTTCTCGAGGAGCATATGTCAAGAGGAAAAGAATGGATTTGGTCAACACATGTTTGCAAAGTCAAAATGCTACTGAAGCCCAAGCTGAAAGCTTACAAAAAGATGAGAGTTTGATACAAGACATTATTGAACCTCAAGGTATGTAATCTATTACATGTGTCCTATCATAAATTATAGTCTAAGAGCTGATAGACATTTTTGTAACCTATTTGAGGCCTTATAAAAACTTGTCTACTACTTCTTCCATTATTTCTGAATAAAAAGGGCAGAACTGAATAACATATTTGTAGCACATTGAGATTTTCACAGAATAATATTTATGGTTTAAAATTGTTATATTCCAAGTGATAGGTCATTTTAATGGGACATTTTACTTGCTAGGTGATCAAGAATGCTCAACTTGTACTTCAGGTAATGGGTAATTTTCTCTCAAGCTGTTGATGTTGTGATTCACTACCCCTTATCCAGCACTGCACTTTTTCTTCAGTGATAATGGTAGTAGGAAGTAGTAGACAACTTTTCATAGTGCCTTAACATAATCATTTACATTGAAATTAAGACATTAATTTTGAGTCTTTGTTCTTTCAGGTTTATCAAGAACTCAAGACAGAGAAACTATTACCAACTCTATCATAACTGCAGAAAAATCTGTGCAAGTAACAATAAAAGAGAATGTGCATCATAGGAGCAAATCTGTGCAAACAAGATGCCAGACTACAAGTATTTCTACCTCACCAATGAAAGTTTCTACAACATCTCGTTCCACTTCGCCCTTTAAGATTAAACCATGCAGTCTTCGACCATCACAGTCTGAAATTGTCAAAGCAGTCAAGAGAAATGTTTTTCTTGAAGATGAAAAGTCAGATAGTGATATTTCCTGTATTGAAAGTGGTCGTCATTTATCACCTTTTGTAACTAAATCAGCATCATCATCATCAGGGCTTACGGACTCTGATAGTAATGTTACAGATGCCAATGAGAATATTGAAAAATTAGAGTGCCTCAAAATTACTATGCGTTCAATCTCTAAAAAACCAATGATGTATGTTGGTATTCCAAAAGAATGTTATTTCTTAATCAAATTGTTACATAAACACAAGCATAAAAGTAGAACACATTTTGCTATGCTTGAAAAAGATTAGAATGAACAGTACATTTTCTGAACTGGAGGATAATTTTGGAATATCATTATCTTATGCTAGTAAATTGTTTCTACAAAATATACCAATAATAGCTAGTGTTTTAAGACCATTCATTGTAAATATAGATAAAAAATTGGTAAAAAAAAATCTTCCTATTTCATTTAGACATAACTATCATAATGTCAGTTGCATCATAGATTGTTTAGAGATTGATATACAAAAACCATCAAAGGCTCTTCATCAGTCATTGACGTGGTCAGAGTACAAAAAGGGGAATACTGTGAAGTATTTAGTATCCTGCACACCTAATGGGTTAGTTAATTATGTTTCGCATGGGATTGGGGGCAGAACCAGCGATGCCACAATAGTAGAAAATTGTAACTTTCTAGATGGATTACCTCAAGGATCCTGTTGCTTAGCTGACAGAGGCTTCAAACACCTTGAACAAATACTTCATGAAAAGGGACTAAAACTATTAAGGCCACCCAGTGTAAATGCTGGTGCAAAGTTGTCAAAAACTGAAGTTCGACAAACTAAAATAATAGCTAGTTTGCGGATTCATATTGAAAGGGTAATAAGGCGTTTGAGAGAATTTCATATTTTAAAGCAACATTCAGTGATAAATACTAACATACGTCGTGTACTTGATCATGTCATTATAATTGCATGTGCTCTAATAAATTTGCAAGATTCTCTTATTAAATAATGGGTTTTTGCCTGTTATGATACTTTATACTTAATTATTATCATGTATACGTAATCTCCTCTTTTGTGACATACCATTTGAACTTTGTGTTTTGTACTTGGCTGAATAAATACTTCTACTACTACTACTATAAATAAAGAAATAAATGATGTAAAACCATGAATAAAATGATAATAAAACAAGAAATATGCACTGCATAGTTTTTTATTTGATAATCACAGACTAGTGCTACGATACAAAATAGGATATATATTTTTTTCCAAAAAATATACAAGTTTTTTATTAAGTTGTTGACATAATCATCTTCGTACTTCACTAGAATAATATCTACATTTTTTGTTTCGTCAAAGTTGCTATCAGCAACACAAAAATAACATTTTTTCATACCAGTTGCATGCATCTGTAATTGAACCTGTGCCTTACATTTCTCTGAAATAATTCCATTTTTTAAATAATTGTTCTTAGCTTTTGCTTTGGTAGGGCATTTTATTTCAACAATGGCATCTTTCAATAAACCATCAGGAGATGCTGCAAGCATGGGATTGTCTTGGCATACATAAAGTCCACATGTTCTGATTTTTTTGTTCAATGTTGTACTAACTGTCTTCCGGACAGATAGCTCCAAACTTCTACCTCTTTTCATTGCAATAGTATCTGGTATTTTTGCGCCCATTATAGTAGCAACCAATGAACCATCAGGTGTATGACATACGCTCACTTCATGTGCCTTTGAAGCTGTGATACGGCCATACCTCATCTCATACCACAAGCTGCTCTTGTACTGCATTCTTGTTGCTTCTTCAATTGCACTGATAGCAGCTCTGTTGAATGTTGTCTTCATTATGTCTACAAGATTGTCTACGTCTGCTTGAATTTTTGGTGGTTGGTCCATTATGAAACAGTGCAGCGAATACCGCATAACATTTGAGTGTTTAAAATCGTCCTGATATTTTATCAATTCGCAGTGTTGAAGTTTTCTTTTTTTGGCTTCCAAAACAAAGTCTGTGTAAAGTGCTGATGTACTTGGTCTGTGTGGTACTTCCTTTTTCGACATCTGCTGCACAGTGATGTACTTCAGAGTAGTCCCTACTCTTGACAATGTTGGCTTTTTCCAATAACATTCCACCGAAGTAGATGGAGGTTCCTCACTGCGCCGATGTACCCACATCAAAAAAGCGACTGCATGCTTGCATCCTCCTGCTGAAGCAGCACAGTCATGGCACTGACAACTTATTATCTCGCTTTCATTTTCGTTGATAACCATTGTCACATTATAAGCTTTTGATCTCACTTTGTGCTCTGGGCACATTTTGCACTTAAGTGTGCAAAGTCCATGCTCCCGGTGCAGCTGCACATAGCCAATTGCATCGTCTCCGTAGGACTCCCTTCCAGACCTGTAAAACAAAAGCAAAACATGAAAGTATGTTTTATTCATGAAACCAAATATGAACCATATTATCATATTGAACTGAAAGCTTTTTTCATTACATCAACATAACCTAAAATAAGATTGATTTTACAAATCTTTTAATGATCATACATAAAGGTTAGTAGGTATAAATAAATACTTTCTATTACTACTTACATTGTTGTTTTCACATGTTTGAGTTCCGCAGCATAGTAGTCCGCATTATTTTTGAAGAAAAATGCTACCATTAATGCGTCAACCTTAGGTAGATTGCTGTTATCAGCTTGCACAAAATTTAGGTCCATTTTGAAGTCCACAACGAATAATGATGTCAATAGTTGAAAGATTGATCAAGAAAGTAATAAAAATCTGTTTATGAAATAGAATTATGATAGAATATCTCACAGAAAGCCAGCAAAAACGTACAACGCGATGTTTGTTTACTTGCATGTGACGTCACCAGAGTCGCAGCCAATCGCAGGGCGTTTCTGTGACCCATCGAATTTTTAAAAATAGCTGATTTTTATTTGATTATTTCCCAAAAAATATACATATTTAGGTGTACATTAAAGTACTATGTGTTTTCTTATTCTACTATCTAATAGGATGACCACAATTCGCAACTTATTTTCAATACTGTCAAATAGCCTATTCAGTAAATAGCAGATTAGCCCCACGAAAATAATGCGCCCTATAATACTGACTAGATTTTGCGAACGCGATGAAACCGACTCGCCTCGACTTGGTTGTTACATTTACGTTTATGGATACACTTGATAGTCCGTCGGGGACAGTGGGAGCCGGCTCGTGGTTGATCGCGGTCGCCGCGATTATTATGTAGGATTGTTACCATTTTTTGATTTGGTTACTCATTTTTCCCTCGTTAGTAATCGTTTTGGTTGCCGGCTGTAGTGTGCGCGCAATTAAACATGGATGAGTGTTGCTGCGTAATCGATTAACTACTTGAAAAGTCATTCTCCTTTTATAATTTTGAAGAAAAAAAGGAGATCATTGAAAATGGATTACCAACTTATTTTAGATAATTTTAGAAAGGAATAAAAAAAGTAGTTCGATATTTTAAATTTAGTTGGTATATTGAAAACTCGTGGTTATATGGTTGCAAGAAAAACAGATTATATTGTTGGCCATGTCTTGTTTTCTACAAAAAAAAATGGACCAGCAACGATTTAAATAGTTTTATGGTTCTGAAGAGGAGACATGAAATTTCCCCTTTACATGTGAGATGTGCAGCCAATTTGATTAAGTTTTAGGCAGCACACTTATAGATGCTGTATGTTTTTTGGTCAAACAACAATTACCATTTCGGGGTCATTTTGAAGGGGATGACTGTGACAATAGAGAAAATTACTGGGAATTGTTAACATTAATTGCCAAAAAAGATAAAAGAAATCGGAACATCTAAAAACGTCTACTGTTTTTCGGAAGGCTTGGATTAGTCATAGCATAAGACGATGAGGTATATCAAGTGCCGCAGAGGCCCAGTCCAGCAATGTTTACCTTAATTTAAAAAAAAAATAAATACAATACCTAAAATAAGCAAAAACTTTTACATGGGGCGGTCAAAGTGAACCTTTTTTAATAAGATTTTTTTTATCTGGCTTCGGTAACGGTTTAGAAAAAGTCACGCGTCGCCAGTGGCCTGGGGGGCAGAGGGTGAAAGGGGGTGAAGTACTTTTTGGCTAAAAACTTGTCCCCCTTGACAAATCTTTTGACGTGTCTCAGCGTTTTTCCTTTTAATGAGTGGTTTTCGATAAATCCGTGGTGGGAAGTTTTCAAATGAATGTGAAATGTGAATCAGTTATGAAGTAACTGAAATCAGTGATACTATTTTTATTCTAAATCGAAACAACAAGAAGCTCAAGCTGGCGTTGAATATAATCGTGCAAAAATGTATTTAGTTCCGTTTATTATGGGCATTCTATTATTAGTTGCAAAAATAACAATATATGCCACGGAAAAAAATCGTTTTCGGTGCCTTTAAGCGAGTGAAACTTGGTACAGTTAGGTTATGTGGGACACAAACTCTAATATGATCGCCAATCAATCCTAAAGTTTGGCGGGGCCGTAGTTGGGGTGAAAAAGTTGTCACCACCCTTGCATCCCAGCACCAATTGACATTGATATAACACTTTTAAAAAGTGGTGAATGCACAGTGGTTTTAGGAAATACAAAATGCCTGACTGCAGTAACTGAAAGAATGAATTTTTAATTCTGTTGGCAAGGGGACACAAATTTCGAAATTTGTCAAACTTTTTGGTCTGTAGCCCGCCTAGGTAGAAGCGGTGGCCGCAGTAGTAGACTCTTCGGTCTCCTGATTAGTCGCCGTGCGCTGTGCGGGTTCGAATCCCGTCTTAAGAGAAATTTTTCTCTTGGCTATAGAAGTTGTGATTGTCCTTAGGTGGTAGATGGTCTCTGACTGTCGAACGCAGAGATACCACCCGTCGGATCTCGTAGGCGGGGCCAGAATGCATGTTGCATGCACACGTGTTCCCTCGATAGAGTCCGTGTGGCGTTTCCTCCCTTTCCCCTGTATCCCCCTATAGCCCACGGTACCCTATGGGTGTTTAGGCTTAGGCCTTCGTGGTGGTTGGAGTATAAAAAAAATAACATTTCACGGTTGAAGTGTATCTGTCATTTTGATTTTACATAATTTGGGAATACACAAATCAAATCCAAGCGAATAACCAAAATTTCTATGTTATGTGCCGCGGTTATAATATGGTTCAAGATGACACACGGGTTGATGACGTCAGTTACACGAATCGCTTGAACGCGTTGGTTTTAACCGCGGTTTTGTTGCAAGTTGTTTATTTTAGAAAAGCGCGTATATAATCTCTGATTATTTTTATTATCACTTAATAATCGGTGCTTTTCGTCTACAACTGTATATGGAAAGTTTAAATAAGAAACCTTTCATAATATTCATGGAAGAAATGTTTTTTTCAGATTTTTTTTTTAATGATGGAACCATGGCTTTGTAGCTATGATAACTTTCAATTCTCTAAATTTTTCCGCATGTCAAAGAAAACATTTATTGATTCAGCAGAAATGATGAAAAAAGAAATTAGCAAAACCGTATACAGGTGGATATCATCTAGTGAGTTTATATGGCCATATTTTAATATTCTTGTGGTATATGGCTACACAGGATACTTTGTTAAGCATAGGAACTACATTTAAAGTGTCCCCAACAACTGTAATGAGTATAACTAATAAGGTGCTCCACTTTATGGTAAAACTGAAGTCAGCCTGTATCATTTTTCTCAAAAATGAAGCTGAAGTACAATAACAATATCCAATACCCGGCAAAATTCTAACTTGTCACATTTCAAATAATAACCAGGAATATAAAACTACTCTTGAGTTGGGTAAATACCACAATTTTGCGGTGATAACTATGACATATAACAGCTGATTCGTGACGTCACGGATCTTATAACCAAACTGATAACTACACTCGCTTGAACGGATTGGTAAATACCAACCCAAAATGGTAAATACCATTTCGATTTGGTTATCCGCTTGAATTTGATTACAGTGTCACAGTGTCTATGTCAAAATATGTCAAGTATTTTAAGGTGTAACTCGTGGAATATGAATTTCAAACTTGAAATTTTTGGTTAAAATCCACCATTTTGATTTCATCAAATTCTAGCCAGTGTCACCTACATCACTTAGGCCCGTAGCGTCAGTCGTCCCTACAATTGTAGGGCGCGTTTATGGCCTCCTTGATTGTCATACTCCTTTCTCTACTTCAAAAATTTCTAGATTACACTTGTCCCGTGTCAGCGTCAGCGCTCTCTTCTTCTCTTCTTTTTAAATTGTAGGAAATTTCAGGCTGATAAAACATGATATAACTCAAAAGCAAGCACAATTTGATGTAAATAGATGTTTGTGATATAACCTCAAAATAGAGTTCTGACACGGAGAAGTAGAAAACTATGACAATCAAGGAGGCCATAAAGGCGCCCTACAATTGTAGGGACGACTCACGATACAAGCCTTAGCAATAGATTCACATTTGATGCGGAAATATTCTGATACAGATTTTTTGCATAATCTTATCCAGAATCTGGATGTTGCTAGGTCCAAATTAGCGTCAAAATTTTTTAAGCAGTTTTTTTTTGCTCCGGTCAAAATGTTTTTTTTTGTCTATGTAGAAATTCTGAACAAAAAAGGATATTTGGAACTTTTCTCTGAAGTTGATAGTTCCCGAGATATAAGCGATACAATATTTGAAAAAATGCGAAGCCCGAAAAACAATACGAGAGAACGAAAATTTTAGCGTTACCATTGTTTCTTAATATTCTTCAAACATTCGATAACAAAATTCCAAATCATTTTTGGAAGTAGTGTTATTGTGAACGTTTTGTTTTCCATTTGTTAATCTATTGTACGCTGAATTGGTTCTCCACATCTCTCTCGCACAAGGGCGGATTCAGGATTTCGTCTAGGGGGGGGGGATGCAAACGATATTAGAGGCTGGTCATTTTTTAAACTCAGTGAAACTTCTAGAACCTATCCAATTATTGCTCCTTAAATCCATTGTAATCTATCTGGTCAAGGCCAATTGGGAAAAAAAATATGGAAATTGCTCAGAAATCCTCAAATATTTTATTATATGAGAACAAAATAAATACGTGGCATTTATAATTAACTGGTAATAATATTAAAGATTCAAACATAAAAAACTTCATTGCTCTGTTAACCGTTAAAAAATAAATAAAACATTCTGAGGGACCCCGAGACATATCCTAGTCCATTCCACACAAAACAATGTCTTTGATTGCAAAAACGAACATGAGACCAAAAAATCCACATTATCGTATGGAAGCTAGACAAGACAAAGAAGGATGTCTATAGACCATCTATAGACCGTGTCTTGATACCGTCTCCAGACTGCCTATACACAAATTACGCATCGGGGTCTACTAGTATGTAATAAGCTTAAGGATTAAGTCTCTGAACTATTATATTTGCAGTATGAGGTATGTATTCCTCCATTCCGACGTGGATAATTTCGGTTATCGAAGAACAGAAAGCCGACGCATCCGCGGCCTGTGCGAGTTTCAGCTGAAACAGCGGGTTCTGACCGAAACCTAACCTCCACAACACAGTGGTCTGAGTTACCCACGGGAGACAGGACAGCAGAGCTATAAGGGACAGGATGCGTGGTCAGAAAGAGATCCAGCAGGATACAGGCATGTGACGAGACGCGAGCCAAAATAGTAGGGCCGTCACCAGCTGGGTCAGCCCTTGAGTAAGAGCTTACGCTAAGTCGATCTTGACGGCGAGGTATTCAAGAAGGTCATCCCAGTTATGGTCCGAGGGGAGCGATAAGGGCAGCAAATAGATTTGGGGGATGTTTTGGAGTTGAGGCGAAGCCACAGAATGTTCTTCGGATCTGATTCCAGAGAAAAATCTTTGCGACAGTAAAGACTGCTGCGGACAAAGGCTACAACTCCCCCGTTCTTTCTCAGATTGGAGTGCACCTCGTAATTTGGTAAGCTAAGATGATTAATCGGTGCGGACTCTGAGATTTTTGTCTCCGCCAAGAAAACCATGGCGGGAGGATTGGATTGCAAGTAGTGATGAACAGCATCAATGTTGCTGTTAATCCCGCAGATGTTCGTGGAACAAATTTTATCTTCGATGTTGTTCCCTCGAGTCCCTCGGACATTCTGAGGGTGGAGTGAGCTTACATCCGGAATTCTTAGTACTCGAGGAATCGATCATCATTAATTTCTTTGTTTTGGAAGATAACCGACTGCATAGCTTAGGTGTGGAAACATGCGGACATTTATAAGACACCCTGGGAAAAGCTATAGGGTGGTACCGCCTCGGTCGACTGGTCCTTGTCTACCACCTTCTTTTTACGTGTTAATGATATTAAATAGACCTAAAGTGGCCCGTTGGTGGACTTGTACCGCCGCCCGGCAATCGCTACTGAGGTATTCCTTAACGTGTGTACAATCACTTGTACGGGAAGACGTTGAATACAACAACTTCCGGAACAAGCATTTGCCACGGCCCCGCTCAGTAGGGGTTGGGGTTTTTGAAATTCAATATAGAAGTTACAGTTATTTTTCAGACTTTCGTTGTCGAACTTAGATTTACGGCATAGTTGGTTTCTCAGTTTTCGAACCGGTGTTGATCACATGTAGAAATGTTGGAAATCCTTGGAAATAACTATATCTGTTAGATCGTAATTATTTTGATGATGTATGTTTGTACTAAACAAGTACAGGAATACAGGGCTGTACATATTCACGTATAGTGCAGCAGCTCTGTGATTTGAACGAATTCAATATAGCAACATAAATAGACACATACGCGAGAAGAGATGCGGGACATGTGGTATTGATTTTGAGCATCGATCGATGCAGTTTCCAGGTAGGCCATAGGCGCACCGCTAAACAAATCTCATAAACGTCTATTTCCAATTTAGGCATTCATCTAACATGGTGCTTCGCTGCAACACCAACCCCGAACGAAATCAGTCAAGCTTTACACACTTTTCAAATAATTATTGAGCAAGAAACAGAACATAAATCACTTTTTAAGTGCAATCTGTATAGCTAATATATTACCCAGACTGAGATTTGTCACAAGTCACAATACTCGTATATACGTATAAATCGTAAGAGTTGTGCTATAAACAAGTGATGTCAAAGAGGGACAGCATTTGGAATACCAAAGGATACCAAAAAGTCAAAATGCTCAGGTCCTATAGCTATAACTTGTAGTTAGTATGCCTCTGTCACCATGATGTGACAGAAAGTAACACAATGGTGGTGTGTTGTGTTTGTATTTACAGAGCGCGTGATTGGTTAACTATTAAGAAACAGGATTTACAATATCAATACCTCTTAAAATGGTTTGGGATTTTATTAATGTGTATTTGAAGAATGTTTAGAAATATGGGCAACACTAAATGTTTCTTTGACATATCTTGCACTTTTTCAGATATTGTGTCCCTTATATCAACTTCAGAAAAAAGTTCTAAAGCAGCTTTTTTGTTCATAATATCCCAAAACACCTAAAAATACTTGGAGCGGAACAAAAAGCAATTCTTAGAATTTGTTTAAAACAACGTTCAAAAAATGTTGACGTAAATTTGGGCCTGGCAACAATGAGATTCATTAAAAATGGCCCTTTTTGAAGAAGAATTTGCAAAAAATCCAATTCAGATATTTTTTCCCATCAGTTGCGAAGATATTGCCTGGATTAACTGCTAAGGTGAAACCAACACTTCATATGTCAAGATTCATCAAGCTGTTTAAGCTGTAGCTCATGAAAAAGGAATTTTACGGTTCAAATTTTCTTTAAAATCCGCCATTCTGTTTTTATAAAATTTAATATAGCCTGTGTCACTCGTACCGCTAAGAATTCGAGAAGTTGTTTGGCCTGTGAAATAGAATTTTTTGGATGTAGGTACATACCACACACCCACACGCGAAAAACATTACCCTCCTTCTGAGGCAGCCGGTTAAAAAACTGTTGGATGTGCACCACTCAATATCTAGAATTTGTTCTTGTAAGGTGAATGAGGCCATTTTCCAAAAAAGCTGATCTCATTGTTTGAAAAGAGATGAGAATGTGCTTGTAGCTCAATATCGAATATGGATTTTTCAAAAAATGGGGAACGTAGACTCATTTTCAGAAAAATGGTGATGTAGGCTGATCTTATAAAGCTGAGATCTCTCCTCCACTCAAAGCAAAAAACTCATTTTTCTAAAATACCTTCATGTACGCATTTCTCAAATAATTTTAATCTGTAAAAATGGCGTAGATTGATTCTATACTTCCTACGCTTTCGTTGGAGGTTTCAAAGAAAAGGGATAAGTCCAATCGTTTCAAAAGGCGAAATCGAATCGTGATTAGGTAGGTTCACTTGGATACGATGAATCTTATCATATCAAACTATGTATATCAGTCGTATTTCTGTTTCCATGGCAGAAGTATGGAAAATATGTGTGACATTATTTGTAACAGGTTGCTACCTCACTGGTCTGAGATCCGCCGGGTCTTTATAATAGAAGGTCTTTCGCTGCCAATAAATATGCAAAAATTTACAACCATTTACCGAGTACAGCTTCCAACCTACAATTTTCATCCCCTCCGAACAATGTCTGAGAATGAGCAGCAATCTCTGAAACTTTTTAACACTATGTTCAAGCGATTATATTTCTTCTCTAGCGGTATTTCAGTGACGGCACCACCACAAACCCCCTACAACCCCCAAGTTTCAACCCCTACAAAAAAATATCAAAAAACGAAGTTTTAGTGATTTTGATTTGTTTTGTGTTTATGCCCCTAGCTCCGCCACCATTAGATCGATTTTCAGCAACAACAAAGCTTTTTCATCCTTGACATAGTAGTAAATTTGTGTGAAAATTTCGTCGGCAGTAGCCGCCACGATGATGTAGCAACGCGCCGTGCACGCAACGATCGGAGTTATTTTGAATTATGCGTACATTATACATCGGACTTTTACCATTTAATTTCCCCGTTGTTAGCGGGATCAGAAGCTTCTTTACGATAGAACATCCTTGTCCAATACTATAGTCGTTACATTTACAACATCCTACTCCTTACAACAAGTTTCAACCCCTACAAAAAATTTTACGAAAATGAACAGGAGCCTCTGAAATATCAAAAAAGTTTAACCGATTTTTATATTTTTGTGTTTTTGCGCCTAGGTCAGCCTCCACTAGACCGATTTTCAACAATAACAAAGCTTTTTCATACTTGGCATAGTAGTAACTTTGTAAACATTTCATCAAACTCCGATCGGTACTTCTGAAGTCATAGCGGTTATAAAATTAGCGGGCAAACCGACAGACAGAACTACACGGAAATAAGAAAACTTTATTTATCCTAACATATGATCATTATCAGCCCAGTGTACGCCTCTTCTATTTTCGACATTACTGAACCCAATTCCAAAATTCTTGTGAAGCTCCTCCATTGACTGCCTCATGCTTTCTTCTTGATAATACCTCTTGTAGCGCCTGACTAGCAACACGCAACCCACCAAGAATATGATTTGTACTATGATCCAGGTGGTGATTAGTCCAACCACTAGCGAGTAGTCCAAACAGACCTCTTGTGTGGAATAATCTGTAAAAAGAATTACTTGAAGAAGAAAATGAGTTTTTTGTGTCTTCCTGTCAATCTCAGCAGAAAACTTGCATCCGATTGGCGATCTATGTCTACGATTTAGAAAAGAAACGGGTTTTTGTTTTGTCGCAAGACAATTTTCTTCAGTTAAGTTAAGTATCTCTTTAAACTATACCCACTATAAACTTTATTTTACCCTCACCATTGGGATCTTGGAAACTGTAAGAGATACGAAGGCGCTTAAATAGGTACAAAGATGCGTACTTGGATAATCAACAATATGTCGCTTAGAAAGTTTCGAAATTCAATGTACTACCAGAGGAAGACGGAAAAGACGAATTTCCCCAAAATGATTTTAATTATTTTCCTTACTTCATTTGTAGTGGGATTTCAAAATAAATTGCACATTAACATTGCCACTTCTCCTCTACAAGACGGCACAATTATAATCTTAATAAATCACGTTTCATATCTTGTCCTCCAGTATCAACATTATTTTTTCTTATAGACGACATATTGGATTTTCCACAGATCAATAGAGTTTTTAATTCTGATTATCTGATTCCAAAAACTCTAGTTACTTGAAAATTGGAGAATTTCCTACGTAGGCCTGAAATTATCAGATAGTCATTTGTTTTACATACCATATTCATCCCAAAATCATTTTTATTTTTTCCTGGCCTTATTGGAGATGGGATTTCAAAATAAGTTGCATGTTGTCATTGTTACTTGTTCTCCTCTACAAAATGGCGTAGTAAAATTTTCAATTCGAAATTTCTTCTTTTGATTGACCTCCATTTAAACTTTGTTTTTTCATATGAATGCTGTATTGGAATTTTATACATTTGAATGGACTGTTCAGTCTCAAATTCAGTTGGCCATTAACTTGTTGTTGGATAAAAAATATAAGGTATTCTGTAATTTGAAAGCAAAATTAAAATTTTATGGATGGTAATAAGCATAATAATAATAAATAAACAGAGTTAAATCATAGCATATGCTCAAAATATCCGTTATAGCCTGCTCGATTTATTTCTCTTCTTCCCAGACTACCAAACTCTATTGCTATGTTCAATTTGAGGTCTGGTTCGGTATACGACACAAATGAAATCTGATAATTTTAAGGCCTAGCTAGGAACTACTTTTTTTCAATAACTTAGGTTTAGCAATGTCTATGTATGACATATTATACACTCTCTCTCTCTCTCTTTCTCTCTGGAAGTACTTTGAATTTCGAAACGGCATTTTGTTGATTACCTAAACACACAACTTTGCTCCCATTTAAGCGACTTCGTCTCTACTGTTTCCGAGATCCCAATAATGAGGGTCGAATTTGAAACACCCTGTATACTTCCTCTCAATGCAGAATTTCCATTTTCGTCAAACCTTAAGCTTATCCTGTGGTTTTCATGCTGTTACCGTGGTGGCAGCCAGAACGTCAATAAACAGTATTTCAAGCTAACGTGGTTTGACTTAGAGGTCGTACATACATGGAAGATTGCATTTTCTCTCTCGTTTTAAGCCAACAGTGCTCGGTACATCGCGATAATTTTGGATACTGATTTCGAATATCGACATAAAAGAATGCTAGTATTGTGAATCCCTATTTGGAATACGAAAATGGCGTCAAGTAGATTGATAATATCGCGCCCACCTCGTGTGTGCATATCGGATCACCGCGCGCCGTCTCGTTTAAAAGTCCCTTGGATCAACTACTAATGCAATACTAACCACCCCGTGGCGACCGGCAAGTGCGACCAATACTTACGCGATCCGTCGGCAGAACATCAAAATATTGTGTTACTCCCTCCCCCACTCAGAATTTTTTACCCCTAAAAGGTTTTAAAAACTGATTTTCAAAAACTACAGGTTTTTCGTACTTGACATAGTCGTAACCTTGTGTAAAAATTTCATCAAAATCCGAGCAGTAATTTCCAGGTTATAGACGGGCAAGGAATAGCGGACAGACAGATAGACCGACGGAAAGGAGTGACATATATCTAACATCAAAAAACTTATCTCATTTTCGAAATTTCCCCCGATTACAATACTTCCTCGCCAGTAGGCGTGGGAAGTAAAATGCGACTCGCGATCTCAGTGAAAAACTGAGATCAGATTCGTAATCCACACACCCGCCGGAGATTTTAGAATGATTACGGATAATTTTTCGTCCACTTACTATATCCTGCAAACAATATTTTGTTATCTCCAAAAACAAGCCTATCTGAAGTGGAGACAGCATCTCTAACCACCATGAAATATTCTAACGGCATCTCGTTGACATTCCTTGTCCTGCCTTCAAACTCTGTTCTGTTAACCTTCACAACTGTCGTACCATTCAAAGTGTGAATGCTGTGAGTTCGAATTTCTCTCTTCCTTCTTCCGTAAGAGTATACGTTGTCACCACAGTTAATCTGAAATTGAATTAATTTATTATTCTAAAGTTCTCACATAAATTCACTCTCCAATAGCGAAGTTTCCTATTTTTTGAAATACAAGTAAAAGTACAGCACTGACAGTCTCAAAAAATGAAAAAGTTACGCTACCCAGAACTCTTATTTGGAGAATTATCTTGCGTGTGATGACGCCACATTACACCAGGTGCCATCGCCACCACAAAGCGAAGCGCACGCTTCGCTCTATTTACAAACCTTGCTACTCTCCGTATTTACTTTTACGGTAAAAATGGGTAATATGGATCATACTTTCTACTTACAAATACTGTATTGTACCTGGGTGTACAAATACACGTATAGCAGCTCAGCTCCAGAAAAATATTGTTACCTGTGCCAAAACATAATGGGAAAGAATTGGTGAAGGGTAATAAACAGCGACGATAAAACTGTCTATTTCGGAAATATCATTGTACTGTTGAAAATCTCATTTTGATATTAGTAGGTATTTAGTTAGTATTTCGAGATAATGTGAATATTGTTATAGTGATCATGATGTTATGGCTGGAGAGGAAATACTCCTGGCCAAAAGTTCAAAAAGTCTGGATAACCGATTAATGTCACCTTTTGTATAACTGCATTGAGATGTGGCAAACGTTCTCGTCGTCTGGAAAATGTTTCCGGCCTTGGATGTCGCATATTAGGTACCGTTGCTTATAAATGCGAGATGCTAGGAAACTATTTCTTTGGGCTTCGCCCAAAATGAACACCATATACACCATTTCTTCTTCAGAAAAATTCATTTTCAAACACATTTTTATTATAATGCTGACAAAGCTAATTTTGACAGTTTGTAACAATGTATTTGTTTCCAAGGATGATGCGATATTCTAAGGAATCAAGTCGTTTCATAAAAGACGTGCTAATAACCGAATAACCTTAAGCCGCGTCCAGATTTGTACCACATCGCGCAACCGTACCACGCCGCGAACCAGTCTGGACGTCGGAACGAACGCCGTCGCGAACCTAATATGTGTTGCAGCTCGTGGTACGTCGCGATCCACGGCAAGTCGGTAAATGGACGGAACATCAAAGGATTGGTGCGCGACGACGTTACACAAGTCTGGACAGGCAGACGAACACTTTCATTTCTTCAATCATTATTAATTTGGGCTCTCTGCTAGCGAAATGGAGTGGACCGAAGACCGCGTGCTAGAATTAATCAGTTTATATAGGCAAAATGAATGCTTATGGAATCCAAAACATTCATTATACTATAACATACTTAGAAAATATGATTCATGGGTCAAAATAGCTGCCGAATTGAACCTACCGGTGGAGGAAATAAAAGAAAAGTGACCAATTTGCTTTCTTCATTCCGACAGGAGAGAGCTAAAGTGAAGAAAAGTGGAGGAACCCGGAAAGGTATATTTTAATATTCTTGTTTATCTTACAATATAACTTACATATATTTTTTATTTTTATCAATAGGCTCAGATGAAATTTATGGAAGCAACTGGTTTGCATACAAGACGATAGAGTTTCTTCTAGACAAAAATTGCCCTAGAGAAACATCAAGCACGGTAAGTTTAAACGAATCATAATTTGTTTTGCATTATTGCGAATATGTAACAGGGCCTAGAGATTTTAAACTGAAAAGTATAGGTTATGTTCTTACATAAATAATTTTTTACGAATAATCATCATGTCATTCAAGCTGACCATGAAAATATCCTGCCAATTCTTCTCGAATTTCTTGAGCACGTTTGCATGACCTGCGAGGTACATTTCTCAACGGAAGTAGTGAAGTCATTGTTTTATCATTCGGAATTATCCGTCTCCAGCTTCCTTCAATAAGGCGACCGTCCACTTCTGTATCGAATGTCCCGGGGGGTGTATAGACATTACAAGAATTACAACTTCTTCTCAAAAAATTGTGTAAATAAGCTATTGTCATTACAATTAACTCGGCCTTTCCTGGTTCCAATAGTAGTGGCTTTCGTAACACTCGGAAAACTGCCTAAGAAATGCCAAAGACATTTTCCACCACTCGACGTGCTCTACAGAGGCGATAGTTATAAACTCGTTTCACAGACCCTTTAGTATGTAGGCCTGGGAAAGGTTTCATAAGATTTTCAGCCAATGCGAAAGCTTCGTCTCCAAGAAAAAAGAAAGGTATACTTTTTTCTCTTCCATTTAGAGGTTCAGCTGGTGGAAGACTCAAACCATTTTTCTCTAATTTCTTGTACAGTTGGGTGTTTTTGAAAACTCCGCCATCAGATATTCTGCCTTGGCACCCAGCATTCACGTATAGAAAATTATATTTCGCGTCCGCCACAGCAAAAAAGACAATGCTGAAGGTACTCTTATAATTAAAATATTCGCTTCCGCTATTTATGGGTGCTTGTAGAACAACGTGTTTTCCGTCTAAGGCCCCGAGGCAATGTGGAAAGTTCCATATTGATTCAAACTCGTCAGCCACGGTTAGCCGTCCCGCTTGTGATTTGGGTATCTGTAAATAAAACGCAAATAAACTGCACGTCGAATATATCATTATTAAAAAATTATATAAAAAGCACAAACTTTTTATTTATAGATTTTGGATGAAGACACACAATCCGAGCATTCAGCTCCCGGTTCGACTCACGATGGGCAGGAGCAGACGCGATTGCTTCGTCCTACTACAACTGGTGCCGCTCTAGGTCCATCCCTTGACCCAATTCTCAAAAAAAGTAGGAAAAATGGTGGTTCGCAAGACAAACTAGAAGCAGCATTCCAAATTCTGAAAACATCTGCTGCTCACAATCAGAAAGATGACAGCGAATCTGATCTATTTGGAAAATTGATAGCTAAAAAATTGGACTCATATTCGAAAGTTACGAAAATCGCTGTGCAGCAAGCCGTAATGGGTATCATCTTTAATGCAGATTCTGGATTCTATGAGCAGCCACAACATCCCCATCCCAGGCCAGTCAATCTTCACCCATCAACTTCTCAATATAAATACCATCCTTATCCTACACCAAATATAATGCACCACCCTGTACAACCACAGAGTTATTCTTCTGCTCTCACAATATCATCCCAAGATCCCTCATATTCTCAAAACCAACATTCTCATTACCAACAATCTCAACATCCGATATCGCCACAAGAATATCATAATAATTCATCTCCATCACTCTGTTCTCCCCCTGAATGTTCCCCTACAAATCCTTCGTCAGAAGAAACTACATATGAAGAGCTTGTGACTAATTTGTTCATAACTTGAAATATAGAAATATGAACCCACTAAATGTGTTGCTTTATTTACCTGAATACTTCCTTTCGATTCTTCAACTAAGGCTTGGCAAACTTCTGGAACGATTTCGCTAATGGACTGCTTGGAAATTCTGAACAAATATTGTAAGCTTGAATAGGAATCTCCTGTTGCCAGAAAACGTAGGGTCACAGCTAGTCTGTCTTGCACTGAAATTGCTTTCCGGAACTTGGTGTCTTGCTTTTGTATTTTAGGCCCAATTGCATTCAAAAGATATTCAAAATCTGTTGGTGACATTCGAGTGAAATTTTTGTATTGGCCACTAATTTTTTGCATCTTTAAATCCGCAAGTAAATTATTTGCGCCATATTTCATTCTGTTTCTAAATATTTCTGTTTGCTACCACCGTCTTTGTTTTTGTTTTCGCTTTTTAGCTGATAAAGCGTAATGAATATATATGAACGCTGCTGCGGCGACATCCATTTTGAAAATTGAATCGACTACTACTACCGAGCAGAAATTCAAATATATTCGTTCGAGGTTCGGAGTGTTGTTCGATGCAGCGTACGTGATTGCGAGATTTCTGTTCGCAAGGTGGTTCGCGACGTGGTACGGTTACGCGATGTGGTACAAATCTGGACGCGGCTTTATGTGTCTAGTATCAAAAAAAAATCTCATAAAAAATTGAATCCGAGCTTGCACAAATAAACAGGGTGATGCATTTGAAATATTTGAGAAAAACTAAAATTAGCGTTTTTGACCAGCCTGTATGAGCAAAAATGAACATTCAAAAAGTAACAATAAGATAAAAGCTGAGGTGTATAAGTTGTTTCGATACAAAATTCAGCACTACAAATTTCAAGATGGCGGATCTCAGTAGCTAATTACCAAAACCCCATAGTATGTTATATCAGTTTTCTTCTTTTGAATTGGTTCACCCAAATATGCAACAAAAATTGAGGCATTGTATTTAAAAAATCACAACTTTGATATGTAGGTCAAAATTTGGATACCCTGTATAATGCCAATATTTTAGAAATGTGCCCTCAAATGTCATGTATGACATACCATGAAGAGATTTTCCCAGAATGTACTTGTTTATGAGTAATACTCCGTCCACACATGGATGGGCCTCCCTGTATAGGGGCTGGTCAGATTGAGCGCCAAGGATGAGTGTGATATCGAAGGGCGGTCGCGTCGTCCGTGGCCCAGAAGTCGCACTAACATCACGACCTAACCTCGACGGGTGAGGGCAGTCAGCTACCACCAAACACAATTGGAACATTTTTTTCAGATTTGTGAAAGATACCAGTTATACTATTATATGCATGTGAAGCTATAGTTCTTTTCATGGATTTGGCGGTTCAAAGTAAAACTAACGGAATTGCTTTCATACATCCATCTGTCTCATACATACACTTACAGCCTACCCCTGTGTGTGAACGTTTGTTCAGTAAGCTCAAAGACACGTTTTTTTATGTGTGTCTCCGTCTCGAAAACTCGTTAGTGCCCTTCAATTGTATTTGTCAGAGTGATAACTTACTTGACGTCGGCGTGCAATTCAAGTTGTCCTGATATCAACATTCAATATAAAATTGTACAATTCCCGGAAATGCGATCTATGGAAGGAATAGAATGAAAACAGCGGTCCCCTGTTACCCACTTCATGCGTACTGAAGAGAGTAGCAGATGCGCTGAAGATTAGTCTGCGCCCATGGTACGGAGACTCGATCTGTTTACTTATTTCATATAGAGTTGATGAAGTAACCGCCAATAACGGTGACTACAACTATAGAAGTATTTTCGACTACAGAAAACTTCTTAATTGTAACGAAAAGTAACCTAGAGCGGAAGCCTGGTCTCACTGGCCATGCATACTGATGTTCCATTATTGCAAAGTGTAAATAATAGCTTATAGACAACTACCAAGACGTAGTGGACCGCCTTATTTGTTTTAACGGTGGAAAATGCTTGTTGCGCAATGCAATTTTTACCGATAGCTAATAGTGGAGCACCGTAAGGCAAAAATATTAAAACCTGGAAACCCGGATTATCGTGAGGCCGTTTTGATTGCATACTTAAATGCTTAAATAAAAATGGCGTAAAGTAAGTTGACTCTGTATTTCCCACTCTACACTGTCATCAGTTCGTAAATTATTATATTTCACACAAGTTAGCCCTTCTGAGGAAAAAGTTAGCCACGAATATGTATGACAAAAAGTTAAATGACCTTCCTCCAATTGCTGCAAGTGCACATGAGTGTTGCGCTGACCAATCCGCGAGTATGACGATATTGGCCAAGCACAGTTCACGCAACAAGCAGTAGTGTAGAAGCAATTACCGACTATGTCGTACGACCACCGACGACGACGCTTGTCCAGCGAGGACGACGTCGCACGTATCGACACCCGACTGTAGGAAATATTTCTAAGTTTTAAGGATACATGTAAGGGGACATCTATATTAAATGACATACAAAATGCAACACCGAAATCGAGTGATGTAATTTTGAGCATACTTTTAAAGGTTTTATTTCTACTGATAAAGAGAAAGTGATTAAAATTTCAAATAGAAATTTCGCAAAATGAGATATCCCACCCTAATGTTAGTAATGTGTTGAAGCCTCTCTGTTCGCTACACATACGTTAAGTCGTCGCAGAATAGATCGGATTAGGTGATTCAAGTCTTCTTCGTGTATGGTATATCATGCCATCTCAATTTGGTTTCGTAGAGCCTTAAATGTTTGTGGAGGGTGCGGTGAGTTTTGCCACCTTCTTCTTATCATGTCTCATACATGTTCAGTGGGAGAAAGGTCTGGAGATCGAGAAGGCCACTGAATCAGATTTACTCCAGACGCCTCTAAAAAGTCTAAACTAACACGTACGACATGAGGTCATGCATTGGTCTGCTGGAAAAGTGGATCTTGCAATGTTTCCAAAAAGGGAAGCAGATGTGGTAGTAAAACTTTGTGGATATTGCGCTGGGCACCCCATTCCATAATACCCACAGTGCGATGAATATGCCGTTTGATGGAACTTTTGCACGGCCATTATGAGTGCCCAAACAGAATCTGGACTCATCGCTGAACAGGACTGAGTTCCATTCCATATTCCATCCAAGTTTCTCCACACCAATCGATGCCGACGATGCTGTGGGGTCAGAGGTGGGAAAAGATGGGGACGGTATAAAGAAAGTCCAAAAGATCTTATTCGGCGACAAACTGTCCTCATTGCTATTGCCCTTCTGACAGCATCAAACGACTGGTTCGCAACCGCCCTTATTGTCGAAAATTGATCTCTAAGTGCTAGTTGCCACAAATAACGATCCTGTCGCTCTGTAGCCTGTCTTTGACGTCCAGTACCTCTAACTCGTCGATTTCGGCCGTCTTGGAACAACGCTTGCTTAGATACAGTAGCTTCATTTCGATTCACCCGATCAGCGATTTCTCTTAAAGACAATCCGGCTTTATGTAACCCTATTATCCGACCCCTCTCAAATCGGAACGCTGAGTGAAATCAGCGCGTCTGCGACCTCTAGGCATGAGAATGCAATGAAAAATGGAACCAACACAGAAAAATCACTGAATATTAAGTAATCATGTTCATATTGTTCGCATCGTGATATGACAAAAGAAGCCTTCACAAAAAAGTACGGCTGGGAATGCCTTCAAAATTTTATCAAAGTATACTTCCATGATAACAAATATGTTTACAAGTTTTTATCGAAATTCAACAAATAATTCTGGGTGTTGCATTTTATATGTCATTTAGTATATGATGAGTGAACTATGGCTAATATGTGCGTAGAATTACTGGGGTACTTGAGGCGAATGAATAGTCGAACGTCAAAAAATTGAGATACATACAAAAAAAAATCCGAAAATGATTAACATCGTCTGAAACGTCAAAAACCGAAGTTTGAGCTATATTTTTTGGTTTTGGTCTTTTTCTCCGCCGCCACAACATCTATTTTAAGAAACCAGGTAGCTTTTGCGTGCTTGGCATTGAAGTAACATTGTGTAAAAATTTCATGGAAACTTTAAGTTATAGGCGGTCATAAGGTTAGCGAACAGACCGACGGAAATAAGTGACACGGTTTTTCGCAACATCCAGAAAACATAATGTCTCATTTTCGAAAATTTTCGCGATTATAATACTTCCCCGCCAGAGAGGTAAAAATTGGACGCTCTCTATTATAACAATTTTTAACAACGATTAATTAAACATTAAAAAAACATGATGACTTAGAAAACAGTGGCAATATTTCTGGACCAAAAATAGGTTGGAAATTATTTTTTGTGAACCATGCCTTTAGATTTGTCAAACTACTCCATTTGGTGAAAAATTGGTTTGAATGTTTGACTTAAAATCCGTACAAAAAACCTCAACACTTCCACTTCTGAAATGAGCTGAAATTGAACTTTGACATTGAAAACTGTGTGTAGTGCATTGGGAGAGTAATCCTATTTCACCCTACCCTTGTTTGAACAATATTCATGCTTTTGTCTTTATTTATATCTCATAAATTACAGCACCCTGTATGGTATCAGAAAATTTTATGTTTTTTTAATTTTCTTTTAGAATTATGACCTACCGTCGATTCACATTCATCTTAATCGTTCATGTTATTTAACCGAAATTGAAAATGAGAAAAATAGTATTAGAAGAAATAAAAATCAACACCCTGTTACTCAGGAATGAAGCCGTACAAACTTTTTTCTTCAGTTTGGTCAGACCTACCAGGTGTTATTGTTATTTTTAAAATATGTCGGTTATTATTATTAATATGACATTATAAACCTGAACCGTATACATCAGAAACGAATTTAAAAAAATAAAAATCGAACAGCACAAGCGGCCGTAATAGATGGGATTTTCAATATACAGTATTTTAAATGCATTCCCCTAAAAACGGCAAAAAAACATCCAATGGAACCGGCATAGCTATCATGTAAAAAACCTATAAAACGTCAAAAAAACATATATGATGTCATCTTGCAAACTAGGTAGTTTTTAGGGCGCAAACAGTCATTCCACGTTTGCTCACTAGGATCGTTGTGAACGTCCATCTAAGGAGAAATCACTCAACTAAACTAAATGCATTATTGGTTGCATATGTTTTGTAAGGCCAAATGGTCCTTGTCTGTAGTTTTTATACCTGAGAAGAAAGTTGGTTGAATAGCGAGATCGCATCTGGATGATTATGTGTATTGGTCTGCATGTGTATAAAATCAGTGATATTTGCTGTGTGAGGAAATCATTACTGAATATATTCTTCCAATGAAGTATATCTATTGGCTGTGCGCGACGGGTTATTTTTATGTTGTGCTTTCTGAAGAGAGGTTATGTTCAAAGTTATAAATTACGAAAAACTGAGGAGTATTACGGGAAATCATCACCGCGCCCGCGTTGAGTGTAATTACTGTTAGCATGTATATGGCTTGTAATTCGACAGTGTACAGAGGATATAATTATTTCTTATCTCTCTCATTCTTGAAATCCAGCAAATTTGTATATGTAATTTCCAGAATGGATAAGAAAAAGTGGATGCACAACTAATTTCTAGCTTTGAATCTCAATTAAGTGTATTTGAGATAAGAACCCAATGTAATTATAATCAATACATACAACTTACAGCTTAGACCTCCGAGAATGCCATCTCTGAAGCAGATTTTACATCACATCAGAGCCAAAGATTGATAACAAGCCTCATGACGTTTAGGCAACACGTACAACTAAGTACTAGGTTAATATCTTGTAAAAAACCTACATAATGTCAAAAAAACAGCAAAATGTCAAGAAAAATCGGCATAATGTCACTTTTCAAGATACGTGATACCCGTCCGGGTTCCGAGGTTGAAATCCTCTGTTACTTTGTCATAACTTACCGGCTTGCATTCTTTCTCGCAAAACTGCACGATGACACTAAACCTGACTATAGGCGAAGAAGCAAATTTAAACGCCTGGAAGTTAGCCACTAGTTGCTTAGAATTTCGGGTGACTCTCTTGCGGAGCGCTGGAAATATGTTCAGGTTTGTTGGACATCCAGCATCGTCCAAGAGAAAAATGGATTCGTCACTTCTTTCAGTCATTGCTACTAAATGGCTGGCCCAGATATCATAAGAAGCTGGAAAATATGAGATGTATAAACAAGTCACTATATCTACTATATCGAGTGTTTCAAATTCGACCCTCACCATTGCGATCTCGGAAACGGTAAGAGATACAAAGTGGCTTACATAGAAATAAGAAACTTCGAATTGAAAATTTGAACACGCCATCTTGTAGAGGAGAAAAGGTGGTCACGACAACATGCAATTTATTTCGGAATCGCATCTCAAATAAAGTCGAGGAAAAATAAAAATGAGTTTGTGATAAATCTGATATACGGAACAAACAAATTATTAACTGATCATTTCAGGGCCCAGCTGGGCAATTCTGTTTTTATGAAATAACTACTTTGAATTTTGAAACTTTCTAATTGGCATTTTGTTAGTTACCTAAATACGCAACTTTGCCCCCATTTAAGGACGCCGTGTCTCTTACCGGCGCCGAGGTAACCAAACCAAATTAATACCTCAATAAACCTGCTGACCATCAACTCAGTTCGAATGATAAAAGATTTAATTAAACATCCCTGCTGAATTACTTTATTCTAGTTTTGGAACATTCCGAGAAAGATGACAGTCCGAAAATATTGTAGTAGTAGGAAAAGGCACTCCACCTTATATACCATACTCACCATTTGCTTTCAGCTCAATAATCATTTGCAATTCCTGTCCAATCTGTGTATCACTGACCTCTTCCCGCTTATTCAAATCTATGATTTTCATTTGAACCACTGGAAATTTAGTAACATTTGTTGTTGGCGCTACTAGAGAGCTGCCTTTACTTGGATATGTCCTAAAATTAATGAGAATTTGTAGACATATTTTGAAATTAAGAAAGAATTTTTCCAAATGAACTCAAACTTACGCAGAAATTTTAACACCAGTACCGACGATAACTTTGGTTTCGTTCCCAAAGATACATCCTACTCTTATTATTCTATCGTTTTGAGTTTGAATTATTGGATTGTATTGCAAGACCAAAGTTCCAAACATCAAAGTCCTGAAAATAATAATTATTCGTGTATATACGGCGTATAGTGGCCAGCGGAGAGAGTCCAAGGTGCGAAAGAAACAGGCTCTAACAAGCCAAGGGATATAAAGGTTAATCATGCCCGAGATGCAAATTATATCTACTAGCGACTATAGGATAAGTTAAAAATATAGAGTAACCTTAGTGTAGACGTAAAAATATATTAATTGGCCGTACTACCACCGGGTGCTGGTAGTAGCACCCAATGCTTAGCAGACAGCGAATGATATATTCAATTCTCATGATCGATCAGTATATATCAAATTAGAAATATCGGGCGCTAATGTTGCTTTACCGTTCTAGGAGGTGATGAAGCACGTACGCTGATAAGTGAACTTGACGTCCTGACTATAAAGCAAAGAATACACAGTTACCAGTCGTAGGGGCACTCGCTAAATAACTTTTGATCTTGGTACTTCTAAAGACATTTTTCCTCCTTCCTTTTTATTGTTTTATACAGGGTAGCGTTGTTGTACTTTGACGCACATACACAAAAGGTGGGCAATAAATTGTTTATAATGCCATCGAGTAATTATCTTAATACAGAAAGATTCATGTGATTATTATTTTTATGGCAAATAGAATAGATGATACCCTGCAACACGCCTATGGGAAAAAGGGTTTCGGTGAATTTTGCCGAATTTCTTATATGTTATGCCGCTTGGCATTAAGCTTCAGTGGGCATAGGTCCCTAAACCCAACTGGTCCCAAGATATAGGCCGTCCAATTCAGTATAATGGGGTTACGGTTCTACTCGAATGTCTGCTTTAAGTGGAAGAGTGGTTTCGGCCAATTTCGCTGAGCTTCTTATTTGTTATGTGTCTTCGCATTCTGAACAAATATTTCAGGGGTACAGGTTCCCAAATTCAACGGGTCCCAAGGTGTGACCATCAAATTTACTATAATAGGGTATTGTTCTACTCGTAATGAGCACAGGCCCCTAAGCTCAACTGGTGCCAGTATACAGGGTGTTTCAGTTTATTGTTGCATAACTTTAAGATTCGATAGAACTTTTAAAATTAATGCATAAAGTCTATATAAACATGGGTCGAAAAATGCGTGGCTTCCGAAAGTTTAAGTTTAAGTTTACTTTCTTAAATAGTTTTTTTTAAATATTTCGAACAATATTTGATGTATAATAGTGAAAATTGGTATACAAGGGTTTTTTTGGTACGACAAAACGAACCATGGGCATAGTTTTACTGTAGCCGCTAGAGGGCGCTCTCTACTGTACTTGTAGTGTATTAAAATGACCGAACAAATGATGATTCTTCGCACTTTTCAACATAAAAAAGCTCTATTGTGAATTTTCGTTATAGTTAGCCGTTTTTGAGATATTTCGATTTTTAAGGTTCGATGCATTTTTAATTATTTATGATAAAATAACGTTAAAAAGTCAGTATCTCGATAATTTTTAGAAGTAGGCTGTGCCTGCAAATATTTTTGAAACTGAAAGCAGAATAAGGTTAAACGTCAATTAGTTGACAGTTAGTTTTGTTGTCTGTTAAAACCTGAAACGTTTTTTTGCAATTGTGAATGCACGAAATTTAGTTTCTTTTGCCTGTTTTTTTTGTAAGTTTTATAAAAATGCCATTTTTATTCTCCAATCAAGAGTTAGCGGATATTCATTTTGTGTATGGCTTTGTAAATAGAAACGCAGGAGAAGCAGCCAGAGAATACGCACGAAGATTTCCAAACAGACGACATCCAACTCGCTCAGTATTTGTAAGAGTGCATCGCCAAATAATTGAAAATGGTTTTGGAAATCTCCAAAGAGATCAAAACATAAATGTTCGTCAGCACAGATTTACCCGTATGATTCTAGGTGAGTATGATAGAGATCCGACCACAAGTGTTAGGAGAGTTTCTGGTGCCTTGGGAATTTCAGCAAGCCATGTTCACCGTGTTCTTAGAAATGACCATAGACGTCCTTACCATTTGCAACCTGTGCAAGGACTACAGCCAGGGGACGGAGAACGAAGAATCACATTTTGTCAGTGGATTCTTGATAGAACTGCTAATTATAGGGGGTTTTTAAGTAACGTTTTATGGACCGATGAGTCATGCTTCACTAGACGTGGAGTGGTAAATTTTTATAATCAACATATTTGGTCGCATGAAAATCCGCATGCAGTTCGGGAAAGAAATTTTCAGCATGAATTTAGTGTGAACGTGTGGATTGGTATCTACCGTAATCGACTATTTGGACCCTACCTTTTGCCTGCAAGGTTGAATGCTGCGACCTTCTTGGAATTTTTAAACCCTGACCATGCAAATATGTGGGATGATGTTATGTTAGATTTAAGAAGATTGGCCTGGTTCCAGCTTGATGGTTGTCCAGCTCATTATTCGAGAATAGTTAAAAACTGGCTGATCGAAAATTATCCAGAAAGATGGATCGGCCGTGGAGGACCAGTCGCCTGGCATCCACGATCCCCTGACCTAAATCCATTAGATTTCTTTGTGTGGGGATTTCTAAAAGAAAAAGTGTACCAGACTCCCGTAACCACAAGAGATATGCTAATAGACAGAATCAGGAATGCATGTGATGAAATAAGGCATTATTTGAATAATGCTATACTACGTTCGATCATTCGTTGATGTGGATTGTGTATTGAACAATTGGGTTTACATTTCGAGCAACTACTTTAGATTTTGTATGTTTGTCCTAACTATCCAATAGCATTTTAGTTGTAAATAATTAATTTAATTTGTTAAAAATAATATTGGAAAATTAAACAAATTAATATTCTGTTTTTTGTGTTTATTTGGAGTTAGGAATTATTGCTGTGTAAAAACACAATCTAAACGATCATCTTAATTACTTGTAATGCTCAAATCGAAAATGTAAAAAAAAATATAATTTTCCCATAAATAATTAAAAATGCATCGAACCTTAAAAATCGAAATATCTCAAAAATGGCTAAATATAACGAAAACTTACAGGAGAGCTTTTTTATGTAGAAAAGTGCGAAGTACCAGTTTTTTTATTCAAAAAGCAAAAAATTGCACTAAGAAAAAGTTTTCGGTCATTTTAATACACTACAGGTACAGTAGAGAGCGCCCTCTAGTGGCTACAGTAAAACTATGCCCATGGTTCGTTTTGTCGTACTAAAAAACCCTTGTATACCAATTTTCACTGTTATACACCAAATATTGTTCGTAATATTTAAAAAAAACTATTTTAGAAAGTAAATTTAAACACCCTGTATTTCGGAAGCCACGCATTTTTCGACCCATGTTTATATAGACTTTATGCATTAATTTTAAAAGTTCTATCGAATCTTAAAGTTATGCAACAATAAACTGAAACACCCTGTATAGGCCGTATAGGCCTCACTCGAATATTTTCTTTAAATACAAGAGTGGTCTCGGTTAATTTTGCTAGATTTTTTAAATGTTTTGTCTCTCGGCAGCCTTAACAAATATCTCAATGGGCACAGGCCCCAGAACCCAACGGGTCTCAAGATAGAGGCCGTCCAAGTCAGCATAATGGGGTTACGGTTCTACTGGAATCTGCTTTTAGTGGAAGAGTGGATTGTGTCAATCTCTCTGAATTTTTTATATATGCCAAAGCATCCTGAACAAATGCCTTAATGGATAAAGGCCCCTAATCTCAATTGCTCCCAAGATATGTGCCGCCAAAGTCAGTATAATGGGGTATTCTACTCGAAGACCTGCTTTTAGTGGACGAGTGGTTTCGGTTAATTCTGCTTAATTTTTGATGTGTTATGTCTCTAGGCATCCTTAACAAATATATCAACGGGCATAGGCCCCTAAACACGACTGGTTCCAAGATAAGTAAGTATAATCGGGTTTCGGCACTACTCGAATATTTGCTTAAAGTGTAAGAGTGGTTTAGGTTAATTTATAGTTACGGTTCTACTCGAATATCTGCTTTAAATGGAAGATTGGTTTTGGAAAATTTCACTGAATTTTTCATTTATTATATGTCTTGGCATTCTAAAGAAATGTTCCAATGTACACAAACTCCCAAAACTCAACTGGTCCCACTATCTGCTTCAAGTGGAAGACTGGTTTGGGTTAATTTCGCTAAATTTTTTATATGTTGTGTCTCGGCATCCTGAACAAATGTCTTGATGGGAGTTGTCCCAAAATAGCTCAAGTCCCAAGAAATCAGCCGTCTAAGTCAGTATGATGGAGTATGTGCCCTACTGAGTTATCTGCACAGGGCCCATTAAAATATTTGTTCAGGACACCGAGACACAACGCATGAAAAATTCAGTGAAATTAACCAAAACCAATCGTGCGAATAGAACCGATAGCCCATTATACTGACTTGGACGACCTGTATCTTGGGACCAGTTGTGTTTTGGAACATGTGCCCAGTAAGTCGTTTGTACAGGATGCCGAGACGACATATAACATATGAAAAATTCAGCAAAATTGACCGAAACTACCTTCCATTTAAAACAGACATTCGAGTAGAACCCCAACCCCATTATACTGACCTGGACGGCCTATAACTTGGGACCCGTTGGGTCTTAGAGTCTGTGCGCATTTGGGCATTTGTTCAGGATACACATAACATAAACATTTTGCAAAATTGACCGAAACCACTTAAAACAGATATTTGACTAGGGCTGATACCCCATTGACTTGGACGGCCTATATCTTGGAGTCCGTTGAGGTTGGGGGCCTGAGCCCATTGAAACATTTATTCGGGATTCCAAGACGCATAACATATAAAAAATTTAGCGAAATCAACCGTAACGATTTTTGCCATAATCGTGTTGCCGGGTCCTTTGCTCAAAAATGTTACAACTTGAAAGATATTTTTAGCCTCTACGTTAATGATTGACGAGATTCACCTGTCGTTTAACCACAGTGTCGATTTTGTCAAAACCGCATGGACACAAGTTTGAAAATGGGTGTAAGGGAGCTGAAGTAAGTAAAAAGCTTTGTTTGTTTCTTAGCTAGGTGAAGAATAGAAAATACCATGAACGAAATGGAATCAAACGTCCATAAAATAGGATATGATATGAATGCCACTAAAGGAGATATTTCAGTAGTAACTTTGATATTCATACTTTCAAGTCTTTTGTTGTATGAAATTGTATAGTTTTCTAAAACATATTAACTATTTTAGAAAGTTATGCAATCATGCATCCGCATAAAGTCAATATTCAGTAAATAGAGCCATTTATATTCGCTAGGAATTACTTTTTCGTCCTTGGCATAATAGCGTCCTTGTATTCAAATTTCATTAAGACATCAATGACGATTCTCGCATAAAAGAGGCATCGTCAATATTTTTTTCTATGGCTCATGATTTTTCCATACTTTTTGTAGACCCTGTGTACTACGAAACGGCAGCAACATGTAGATTTCAAATTACTTTGTAAGCTTGTGCTATTAGTAGTAAAACTAAGCATTTGCCATATCTCGTTTTAAACACTATACATGAACCATAGATTAGTGTTGGGCGGCTATTCTTCGTCAATTACATCTCGACCTCGATGAAAGAACGGGTTCCAAATATGTTTGATTAACAAGATTTGCCTAAGATTATCAGCAGGGTAACTAAACATGGGCACCTCATTTCCCCTCCCTTGTTTTGCATCCACTCACACACTACCACCTTGTGTCATAGCGGATCGCACTGTGCATAAATATGTACGCGTAACCCAATTCCGACAATATTTGATGCTGGCCACCTTCTATGATGTGCTTTTTTACTTGCTTGGGTCCAGGAAGTATCTTCGCATCTGCTTAGCAAACTATATTGATATATTGATTCGGTTCTTTCGCATTATCTATTCAAAAAGGACCCCTTTTAATAAATCTACATGTCTACAGGCCAAACGTTTCATCAAAAACTCTTAAGCAAAAAACACATTTCAGCCTCTGCGGCAGAATCTGTTTTTTCGACGAAGTGCCTCTTCTACTGGTTACTCTGTACTGTTTGGTTACCAGAAAATTAAATGTCGTTGAGGAAAAAAATATATTTCGAGTTAATTCATATGAAAATATTTCACCTGTTTTGCGATCCATCAGCTTCAGTTATCCCACAATTCTTTTCCAGAATAGGCAGCTTTAGAATAACTTCATTTTTGGTACTATCACCCAAAGCATAACACACAGTGTTCTCTGAAAATCCTTGCATGTACAACTTTCCATGAAAGTTTAGTTCAGGCTGGTACCTGATTCTCATATAGGTCTCACTACAAGACACTGTTACTGAAAATGAAAACAATAAAATGGATAATTTTAATAATGCCTTTTTAGCTTTTTCGTAGAAAGGGCTGCCATCACATACATTACCGACGCTGGACAAAAGCTTTGAAAAAACCCGGACATTTGGGTGAAATCGTAACACCAGATTTTTTTATAATTGAAATAAAAACATCGTTGTCAATTTCACGTTTTTCTTTAATTTAAACAGATTTTTAGAGACTTATTTAATAACGTTTGTCATAAATTGACAAAATTGACTTAAACTTAAAGCATAACAAATTAAATATTCATTCATCACTAATAAAATTATACCTTCTCGTCTCTTCCTGAAGTAATCTGGTAGCAAAGACCAGCGTCAAGTAGGTTGACTCTGCACGTCATAAAGAAGTACATAAAGAAATATGTTCAGTGTAACCTAGACCCTCAAACTGGTCCATACAATCAGTCCATAGACATTATTTCCCTATCCTACTGGTAGTGCATCTCTGGAAACGTCGCCTCTCCCCGATACTTAACGCGAGCAGAGTGGTACCGTGAGCGTGGAAGTGCGGCCAGAGCAAAGAAAACACTATTTCACTTCCCAAGTTATAGACGGTTATGAGATTAGCGAACAGACCAACAGACATGGCTTTTCGTGATGTACGTATCATATAACATCCAAAAAAATATACATAATATCTTATTTTCGAAATTTTTCGTGATATCAATACTTTGCTGCCAGTAGGCGGGGAAGTAATAATTAGGAACACTTTTCTTTTGTCAATACATATCATATGAAAATGAGCAGGAAATTATATAAAACGGAGGCCAAAGGGAATTTGTGAGGAAAAATTGTAGTAGTAGTAGTCCTTTATTTAGAAAAAAAATCCTAATTTCAACAACAACAACTGGTAGCATTACAGCATCTCACAAGTACATACATATATATTCAAATATAATAAATTTAACAAATCCTGTCAGATCTTATGTGTTTGATAAGTGCTTTCTTGAAATACCCGGCGTTTTTTATTAGCTGGGGCAAGTTATTGTATTCACATAGTCCTTTGTACATTATTGTTTTCATTGTACTCTTCATATTTGTTTTATTTACATGGAAATGAGTACATGTCCTAGTATTATATGCATAGGTCTCATTATTTGGGCGTAGATGAGCACCTAAATAATTAGGTAATGTTCCCTTCACAATTTTATAAATAAATAGCATTGTTGTTAAATAAAGATGTTGATTCACCGATAACCACTGTAGAGTATCCAGCATATATTCAATTCTTCTGTACCTAGAGCACTGTAAAATTATCCGCATTCCCCTATTTTGAAGTTTTTGTAAGGTGCCTATTTTGTTCTTGCTAAAGGAATATAATAAAGATGAACAGTACTGAAAGTGAGGTTTTATTATTGTATTGTAAACCGTAATTCTTGCAAACATTGATAGCTGTTTAGAAACTCTTGAAAAAAAATAATGTTTCTTTGAAATTTTCTTAATAATATAGTCACTATGGCTGCTAAAGTTTAGGTTTTTATCCAACATGAATCCAAGGTATTTCATTGTATCAACTATATCAAGAATGTCTTTTCAATTTTAATTTGGATATTAGCTTTTATTATATTCTTGTTTTTACTTCTGCTTGATATTACCATTGCTTTTGATCTTTGAGTGTTCAACTTGAATTTGTTCATTTTTAAATATGTATCAATGTTTGCAAGGTCACTCTTTACAATATCGATAGCCTCATTTTGGTTTTTGCAGGCTGAGTACACAAGTGTGTCATCGGCAAATAGATTTATGGAGCTACTTCTCTGAACAACTTCCATATCATTCAAATATATTATAAAAATAATGGCCCCAAAACACTACCCTGAGGAACTCCAAAATAAATTCTATTGTTTCAAATGCTCTTTTGAAATCAAGTAAGACTGCAATTACATAGTTATTGTCATCAATAAGTTTCATCCAATCAGTTACTGTAATTTGAAGAGCAGTTTCACAAGAGTGACCTTTTCTGAAGCCCGATTGCTTAGCCATGAGAAGATTATTGATTTCAAAATATTCAACAATTTGTTTATGGGCACATATTTCCAAAAGTTTTTCAAAAGGTGGCAAAGTATTTATAGGTCTAAAATCAGATGCTTCTATGGAATTAGGTACTTTAGGGATGGGCGTAACTGTGCTTACTGTTAATGCATCCGGGATAACTCCATAAGCTAGTGAAGTGTTTAGTATTCAAAATATCTCCACCGTATGTTTTATTTTCAAATGAAAGTATAATTTCCTTCAATTCATCGAATGATATGGATCTAAATTTCAGGAACGTAGCTGCATCACAAGATCATTATCCACATATGTATTATCAGACTGGATACTTGTTACAATGTCACAAATACTGCTAACAAAGTAAAAGTTGAAAATTGTAAATAAGTTCATTTCATCCCAAATATGTAATTACTCATAATCTACGTACACTACTTCTCATTTAGAACTAAACATAAAATGAACTTACCTGATAACTTAAAAATTATAGAGGGCCAAAAGGCATCTACAACGTAAAATCACGACTATAATTAACTCTTCAAAGTCATTAGTACTCCTATACACGACAGTATGTGCCAATGTTTTGTGGCAGCCAAAAATGAGGGGCGGGCAAGTTCGTATAATAAGACATATTATGTGTTGCTCGTCTTGTTGCAACTATATACGAAATAAACTAGTAATATAGCTGGGAAACTGAAAACTCTTCAGCATGTTGTACGTTTGGTTTTGGTGCACAACGGACGAAGGCTCAGCAACTATACTCTATCCAGAGTATAAGGGCACTGTGGTGGATCTGCTGACAATTCGAGCTGTGATACAGTTCCAACAGTCAGTTTGCTGTTTGAAATGGTCAACAGGTAAGTAAGTGCCTCTGCTGATCGAATACGGGTCGAATACTCGAATTCGTGATCGATCGCCGCATGCACAAGCTGACTGACGGTTTCGAATGCTCAGATGTTATTTTGTGTTTATGTTGATGATTCACCACAGAGCACTGATTTACTTATTTACCGGGATTAAAATGTTCCGGGCAATAAACGTCTAAGCAAATTTGATCTGAAAAAGTTAGTTAAAAATTAAAATCATAATTTTTGAGGTCGCCAAGTACCTAAATGAATGAAGAAACCTTGATCTACAAGACCTTGAAGAGTATTTTGAGATGAGTTTATTTTAAAGCGACTGTAAAACAAAACATTACTTTGATCACTGGTCTCACATTTCACAAGATTCCCCTGAAACAAAAAATGTCCAGAACACTCTTTAAAAACTCCTTCCGGATGGCACCTGGACAAACTAGGATAAATTTGGGAAATCCCGGATGGATGGCAGCCCTATTCATAGAGGATTCTATAACTATAAGTGATATAATGCTTGATTTTCAGAATACAACGTGTCAAACCTGTCCTGAAATATCGATGTTTCGTAAAATTTAATAATCAATATAAAAAATAACGCATTTAAATGTGGCAATCTAGATGGCCATGACCATTTACGGTTTTAACAATCCGTTGTTATTAAGTGCTTAGTTAAACTTCTGGGGATATGTCTGTATATAATAAAGTTCTACAAAGTCTAGCAAAATCACCTTAAGATTTAATACGATTTTTACAGAAAAATTCATAACTAAAACGCTTTTACACCATATAGGTACCTTGGAAACTGGATATTGTGAAACTCCGTAGGTGGTGGACGGAACACTGAACTTACGCTTATATAAACTTCTATAATACCCTGTATTGTCATATATTTATAGTAGCAGAGACAATTAGTACATCATCTTTTTCAATAATGTGCTCTCTGTATAAAGCCTACAGAGGAAGCTGAAATCTTCGTATCTTTTTCTTAAGACATATGTGGTCTCAGTTAACGAGGCAAATTATTTTTCAGTAGATGCTTTTCTTCAATTCATATAATTTTAAAGGGTTCATATTTATTCTAAAGCAGAATCCAAACTTACTATTGAGACACCTAGCTTTTTCGTAATACGTCCAACCTATCATCTCTTTGAGCAAGGTGGGTCCGAATATTTTGGTGTCTTCGCTATGAAGATAGCAATTCTGGCCCTTGACTGTATAAGCCCGACAGTTGAAACCTGGATACTGATCGCAGAGCTGCTGACAGTCTTCTTTAGTCTTCGTCATGAAATGTATGTCAAAGTGGCCCAGTGTGGTATTGTCGTACTGCTCGTACGAGCAAAAATCAGCATCTTTAAAAAAGTACCAAGCGTTTTTTAGAGCAAGTTTTATGGTGATAGTAACAAAGTTTTTGAGGCAGTTACACTTTCACAAAAAGTTATCTCTCGTCAAGGATCGCCCCCACCCCTTGAGAAAAATTTCTGCGGGCGCCCATGCTCTTTGACAGAATGGTTTAAAAAACCTCCGATGGCTACTTACTGTTGACGTGGCCGTCGCTACACTGATTCTCAAAATACTCCTCATCGTATCCAGAAACTCTATATGAGCTAGGCAACAGATATCTATCGTTTCTGCTGAGGGCACAAGTACCCTTAAGGGTATCATCTATAACTCGAAAATTCGCAGATTTGCATTGATTTTCTTTAAGGCAGTTTTTTTGGCATTCATATCTAGTAAAATTGCCTGGCAGGATTTTGTTGTCGTTATCTACCAGGATAGCTCCTGGTACACGTTCCATGACCCATAATTTCTTGCACTTTTCAGCTAAAACATAAATTATTTTATTCCGAAATATAGATTACTAAATTTAAATATAAAAATCGCACACCTTGTATATACCGGACGCTTTAAATTTGGCTCTCACTATTAGTCTAATCATATTAGGAAATTTCCCCAAAATAATTGTAAAGTCTGGTTTTATTGACGCAAGTTGTTGAGCGGGGTATTTAAAACATAGACGCATAAAATGGGTACACCAATTTTTGTGGGAAAACTTTTTATTTGACAACAAAGAATGAGACAACGTGTTTTTTGAGATTAAATCGAAAGTGTAGACAGAAACGAAAAAACTTTCCATCTAAGATTTTTAGGTATTTATGGGATCTATAAAATGAGACCACACGTAAAAGGATCCGACTAATAGCAAAAATGTTATGGTCGAAAAACGAGGCAAAATGCACTTCTAAATAACAACATCAAAATTGGATTTTATTGGTCAAATTGTTTATTGAGAATTTACTAATTGTTTATCTCAAAACACCTGTTTTCAGGCCATCACTACTAGTTTATTGAGCAATATACAGGGTACGTTCAAAGAGAAAAATACACGTGTTTACCTTGTTGTTGTTACTCACAAATACGAAATGTTTGAATTTATTTAGAAGAAAAAACGTAACCCATCTTTTTTTGCATAAAAATAACATTTATCTTCCCGAATGGTTTGCGATTCATATCGGCAAGGTAATCTAGTGTATTTTGCTATAAGATACCCTTGGAACTTACACTGTATAGTAGTGATGGCCGGAAAACAGGTGTTTTGGAATAAACAATCAGAAATTCTCAAAAACTACTTGACCATTCTACTCCAATTTTGTTGTGGTTATTTAAAAGTACGAATCCTACTAATTTGAAAAATTTCAAATATCTGCGAGAAACCATCGTCACATTAACAAGTGCCAAAACCTGCACTCTGCCTCGGTTTTCGGCCATAACTTTTTGGTATTAGTTGGATCTTTTTACGTATGGTTTCATTTTGTAGGTCACATAAATACCTAAAAATCTTGTATGGAGAGTTTTTTCGTTTCTGCCAGCACTTTCGATTGAATCCCAAAAAAAGCGTTTTCTCATTTTATGCGTCCATGTTTTGAATACCACTTTGAACGACTTGCAGTAGTAAAACCAGACAATTATTCCGCAAACCAGGGATATTTTGATCTAATTTGATTAGACTATACATATTGGCAGTTAGAAAGTTTCGCAATTCTGACTATTTCCGGACATACGAAAGATAAAATAGATAAATAGTTTTTAATTCTATATAATGTATTTTATGTCATACATTGACATCGCTAAAGCTTAATTACTTCAAAAAACAGAATTTTCTAAGTGGGCCTTGAAATTATCAGATAGTTTTGTGTTTTATTATATCATCAGTCAAGCATTTCAGCTTCCTAAACACATTTCATATTCCGTTTTATCTAATTCGGTGCACATATCTTGCATTCAAATCATACTAATCTACGGAAGAGATCCATGCAGAGCGCCTTATCGTGCTAAAATAACGCTGGTTATTATAGTCGATAAATGGGCAAATTATCTAGGAGTCAGTTTTGTAGACCTTCCTTGAGGCTCGAGGCCTCTTTGGAAACATTGGATTTCTCACTGGAATCAGAAACAATGACGCTTCCTTGAGGAGCGTTCAAGGAAGGATTTAAATTTTCGTTTCACTGTAGGTTGTTGTCATCACAAGCTGTCATCGATGTCAGGAAGCTTTGCTGGCCGTGTCTATTTATGGTTTTGATGATAAAATTGGAACGATTTGGTTTATTTATGCTAAATATTAATAAACAATGCAAAATAATAATATGTTAGCTCCCTCAAATTACAGCACAATCACAGAGAAGTAAAAAACGGAATATAGGCAACCAGTTACACCGAACTAATCTGCTGCTCGCAGATTGTAGATTACGTCTGTCAGATTCAACTCCTACAGTACATCACAAAAAATACAAATTTTATACCCAAATTTTATATTATTATAAATGAAAGTGTGTGACTTTGAAAAAAAGAAGTTTAGCACAGATAGCAACAGCAGAGCAGTTCGGTGCAACTGGTTGCCTACATTCAGTTTTTTACTTCTCTGTGGTTACGCTGTAATTCAAGAAAGCAAACACATTATTATTTTGAATTATTTACTGATATTTAGCACAAATAAACCAAATCGTCCCAATTGTACCAGCAAAATGATGATACAGCACGCAAAGAAAAATCTTTCTGACATCGATGACAGCTTGTGATGGCAACTGTTACAGCCTACTTACTGTGAAATGATAATACAAATCCTCCTTTGAACCTCCCTCAAGGAAGCGTTATTTTTACACTGTATTCAAAAATAAATCCGTTGTTTCCAAGGTAGCCCCCAAGGAATGTCGCGAATACACGCTTCTCAGAAATTGGAGCAAGTGTGATTTAATCGGATAAACATGTTACAAATTGTCATTTTCAGAGGCAACTATGATAATATTAGTTTTGTCTAAATAACTGAGATTTACAACATATACATTTTTTGAATCGGAATCAAAATGCCTATTTAACTGCGCAAAAAACAATACGACATCTATAAGAAAAAATAAAGTTGATGATTATCGTCACATAACGTAATATTGAAGTTTTAATTATGTCACCTTATAGAGGAGAAAAAGTGGAAATGTTAATGTACTTTTTTATTTTAAAATCGCATCTCTAAGAAGTCCAGGAAAAAATAAAAATTTGCTTCGTTTATCTCCAGAAGTACTCGAAATTGCGAAACTTTCAATGTGTCATTTTTTGGTTACCTAAATGCGCAACTTTGCCCATTTAAAGGTCTTCGTATCTAAAACTTGCTCCGAGATGCCCATAGTGTTAGTCGAATTTGAAACACCTAACACCAGGTATATACACCCTTCCATTCTGACGGAAATCGTGACATGGGTAAATCTTTATATTCCAACATCCATTTGACTGTAAAGCCCCCAGAGAAGTTCCAAACGATTTTTAATGGCCATATCCACATTCAGCGCTCCAAATTTTCTGAAGTTCTTTTGCCTTAAATAACTGTACAAGAAAATGGCAATTTCGATCTACAAAATTTTTTCAAAAGTATTTTCAAAAACCTTGAACATTTTCGTGATTCGGTCAAAATCTCGTGCCCTGAGCAAACCGTTGCGTTATAGGAATCCCATGACTTCTATTTTGTTTGAGTGAACTTTGTGCAATTCCAAACTTTGTATTGAACTCAACAGTACACCAATGTTATCAACACATCGTCAATAATCATAAAGATGTTTGCAGACGATACATTTTTCGACGAATTTTTGTCAATGACTGATACCGCTAATCTGATAATACTTGTTCTGGTAAAAGTCTAATTTTCGGGAACCTCCTTGGTATGTACCCACGAATTATGACTCCTACTTACCGTTTTCGTAACATCTTTTAACGAACCAAGCGACATTGTCATCCAGCAAGAGGTTTTGAGTATCATTTTCATCCACCTCCTGTCTAAAGTAGTAACACTCAGCCTTCTTATAGTCTAGAAGAAAGCTGAAACAGCCATGATCACTGCCACATTTTGATATACACTCTGGAGTTGCTGGAGTGTCAGATGAGTTGCTTTTGAATAGCAAGGTGGAGTGGTTGGATGTTGGTCGAATGCCAAGGATTTTTTCGAAACTTTGAGAAGAAATGGAACAGTTCAGTCCTATATCACCTAAAAACCGTATACATTACGTTACCATCAATACTATACAACTCAAGCATAGTAGGCAATGTAAATTTAACCCTCCATATCCGCTTTATAAAAAAAACGGCATCAAGATGATTTCTACTTTCCCACACGGTTTTTGATATAAATTTTGCAATTTTTCATCAAGTGAGGTTCCATCCATAAACACCGGCATTCAAAAGACTTTGTCACTTACTCTCCAAGAACAATGCAATGCTAAGTATTTATTTGATATTCTTCTGATAAACGTATGTAATTGTAAGTTTTTACAACGTTGACAAAATTTAAAAATTCAAGAAAATGCGTCAAACCTCAAGCAGATTCTACCTTAAAGTTTCTATGTTTAGCATGATTTTGTGTACAATTTTGGGTTTCTTTAGGATTTTTAGTATTTAAGTACGCAAGTTTCAGTTGGGATTGTCGACGTTTGTTCGATTTATTTTAACCATAGCATATTTTGTATTTGATTGTGTTGAAATTATTAATAATCTTATGGGGTTTTGTCGATACTTAGTGGAGATCCATTATTCAAAGTTGAACAATAGTCAAAATTCCCACTATATTACAATCTACATGACAAGGGTGCCTTTTTCAAATGAGTTTACAAACTGAACTTGGTAATGATTCACGGAAAGGTTTATATATATTACAGGTAAAATGTATGTGATTAAGAAATACTTATAATCTTCAAGCTACTTACGAACGGACAGATTTAGCAACGGGGATTATTCAAATCTATTTGATCGTTTAGCAGATGGCCGGTATTTTTAAGACTATTAATTTCTAAGCATTCCAGGTAGCTCTGTTTTACTATTTTGATTTGTGTATGTAGGATTTCAAATTTGTCGTTAACCCTATGGTTTTCGCCATTTAGATGTATTAGTTTGTTTCACAGATACAGATAGACAACCTCACAATTTATTAAACCAAATTAATACTATTGTTCAACTTTAAATTATTGATATTTTTAATCGAGTGGTCTAAACAATGTCCGCGAGAGAGGTTGGCATGAAAGGAAAGGCAATTGGGAGTCAATGACAGGAAATTATTAACAGTGTCACTAACTTCATGATACAGGAAAGTGTAGAGGGATTAATGTTTCCACTTCAACAATTTCCCTTATACAGGGTGTCCCGAAAAAAGTGTGCAATATTCTACCAGCGGTTTCTAAAGCTTAAAATAGGAAGAAAAGTTTATATAAACATAGGTCGACAAACGTCCCCTAAGGGCGCTACGGTCTTTTAAAGGGGCTCCCCTGAAGATGGTTTTTCCTTAATATTTCCGAAACGTGTTGAGATAAAGACATAAAATTTGGTATCCTAGCCTAGTTTTTTATGCTGGATTTAAAAATATTAACAATTTTAGACTGTTTTGTTTGGAAGCGTATGTAACAGAGGTATTTTAGCCCCAAAATTTTTGTGTGATTCTATTTGTGAAACTCAATTTTAGAATTTGAAAATTTAGGGTTTTCTACATAACAAAGGTACTCTTATTGAATATCGATAAATTGTGCCATTTTTGAATAAAATCAAACTAAAAAATTTGTCACATGATAGAAAATGTACTGCGAATTTAAATGAATTCTTGAATAATTATCCATGGCAACGAAAAAACTAATTTAATAATTGGTAAATATTACATAAATACATATTTCTATTGCAACATAGCTAACATTTAGGCAAAAACATAAGAAATAAATTTTTTCTACGACCGAAATTGAAATTTGTTTAAAATAGAAGACATACAGTTGGATATACTTAAAACTAGCTTTACAATAAGTGTTCAAATAAATTCCCATTTTGTTGGATACAGAGTCTCGCTCGACGAACTAATGATTGCGTAGCCCGAAAAGTGGAAAAGCTTTTTCTTCTTATTTCATTTGCAGCCTGATGGATTCTTTGAAGTAAATCTTCTTGAGTATTTACTTCAGTCGAGTAAACTAGTTCTTTTAATGACCCCCAAAAATAGAAATCCAATGGATTTAGGTCAGGTGAACGTGGCGGCCACGCTATAGGACCTCCTCGGCCTAACCACCTGTCTGGAAAATTGACATTCAACCAATTTAAAACATTGCGTAAAAAATTTGCAGGGGCGCCATCATGTTGAAAAAACATATTTTCTTGAAACTGCTGGCGCACATCCAATGGTATTATATCCATGAGCTCATTCTGAAGTAAGTTCAGATACACCTCTATATTAAGACGATTGGGAAGTACAATAGGCCCAATTACTTGATCCCCAATTACTCCTGCCCATAAGTTCAATGAAAATCTATGTTGGAAATTTGTACGGCGAACAACTTTTGGATTTTCATCTGACCAGTGATGCATGTAATCGAGATTAAAAGCACCATTCCTAGTAAATTTTGACTCATCCGACCATAATATTCTAGGAATAGTGTTTTCATTTGCTAATATCCACTGGCAAAACTCGATTCTTTGTAAAAAAATCTTCCTCCGTTACATGCTGCACCCGTTTAAAAGGATAAGGATGTAATCCTTGCATTCTTGTCATTTTTTCTTTCTAAAATTATTATTTTTAGGATAACTATCAAACACGTATTCATAAATTTTTCTTACTATTGATCGAGGTATATCCATAATTTCTCAAACATTTCGTATGCTTATTTGCAGATTATTTTCAAACATATTTAAAGCAATATCCATACGATGATTTCCCAGTGTCCTTCCTGAGCCCTGCATGCGCTGAAAACTTCCATGGTTTAACAAATTCCGGTGAATATCAGTAAACATTCGACGTCCAGGTACTATGCGATTGGGAAATCTTCTTTCATATTCTCTTACGACTGCCAATGAACTGCCATTACAAAACCCGTACACAAAATGCATGTCAGTCAGTTCTCTGTCTGTAAATCTTGACATTTTAAATCGATTTAATAAAAATTTTGATTTTAATCTAGTAATTTTACACTGCTAAAAATGTCAGCTTAACGTCAAAATAAGTCATAACATATCAAAACAACTTTAGTTTGCAGTCATGGCTAACTATTTATAATCAACAATTCAGTTAAATTCGCAGTACATTTCCTATCATGTGACAAATTTTTTAGTTTGATTTTGTTCAAAAATGGCACAATTTATCGACATTCAATAAGAGTACCTTTTTTATGTAGAAAACCATAAATTTTCAAGTTCTAAAATTGAATTTCAAAAATAGAACCACACAAAAATTTTGGGGCTAAAATAACCTGAGTCCGCCCCTGTTACATACGCTTCCAAACAAACCTGTCTAAAATTGTTAATATGTTTTTAGAAAACGTGTGTTAGCTGTCACGTGTCTAAGTTTATCAAAAAATAGCTAAAGAAAGCAGAAAAGGATTACATTCAAGTAACTTTTCATTTCCATCTCCATCTAAAAAGCGGCAAGGAAAATCACCTGTTCTGGATAAAATGACTGCAGGACAAATTGAAGAAATTAAAGCAATTGTATAGGATTTTTATATGTTGGAAAAAAGAAAACCTACGTTAAAATGTAAGTTTTTACCGTACCATCTAGTCATATTTCATTTTAAGCTGTTTTCTAGGTATTTACCAAAAAATGCAAAATTTACAACTCAATTTTGATTGTAAAATATCGACTTTGAACAAACTCTTGAAACAAATGGGCTTTAGGTCAGTATTCATACACACTATAAGCATTTAGATTTACAACGCTATACATACAATTTATATTTACAGATGGAAAAACCACTGAGAATGAAAAAGCTCTCATGGAAAAATATGAAATTCGCTCGAATCGAATATATAAAGCAAATTATTATGAGCGATAGACCTGAGAACTGGAACATAGTATATACGGATGAGACATATATATACATTCTAGTCATACCCCAGAGAAAGGATGGTCAGATGGCGATTATGACAAGGATCTAAAAACGTCTAAATCAAAAGGACGACTGATTATTGTACATGCTGGTGGAGTAATCAGTTTTATTCCTAACGCCTTGTTAATCTTTAAATAAGGTAATGATTATTATTTGTGTTAGAAAGATGTAAAATATATCCAATTACTATACGTTATACTTTTACATTTTTTGGAATATATATGTATGTATTTTATTTTTAGGGTCAGAATCTGGGGACTATCACAACGACATGAATCATTTGAATTTCATGAAATGGGTAGAAAGCCAATTAATTCCAAATTTGCCTGATAATTCTGTTCTTGTCGTTGATAACGCTTCGTATCATAATGTCCTGGAAGAAAAAATATAACCTCTTCTAGCTTGACATCAGAGATTGACTCGTTAGAAAAACATCAAACTGATAGGTCATTGACTAAGGCTGAGTTATACAAAAAATACAAGGAAATAAAACAAGAATTGATTGCCCCTTGATCCTGGAACAGATCAAGTTTCGTACTCCAACGTTTGCATCTCGCAATCATAAAATATTCGGGCTTCCTAGAGCTAGGACAAACATTCTTCTCAAGTCACCGTTATATGTAATGTGCTCTAACTTAAACAGAATTGGATGTTACTGTGATATATTTACGACAAATGTTAATTACCTGCTAAATTTTGATTTGAAGAAATTAGAGTAGACGAGTGGAAGAAAATTTGTAAGCACGTCAAAAATTATGAGAACACACAAATTGAAAAAGAACATATTCTCGACGCCCGAATGGATAAGTTTCGGTTAGCTGTAAACACAGGCTCATCATGAGAGGATAGTGAAGAAAGCGACTCAGATGAAGATTTGGAGATTGACACAATATCATCTGAAAGCGATTCATTTTTTTGTGATAATATATAATTTGGATTATAACCGTCTTTAACCTGTTCCCTCTTCTAATTCAAATCAGCATCCGAACAACTGAATACGCATATTAAGTAAATGAAATAATAAAAAAATCAATCAAAGATTACAACGTCTACAGAATCTATTTATTATACTCTACACTTCAAATAAAGCGGAACGCTACTGCCCTCTATCGACGGCCGATTGCTGAACAGACCCGCCCACGATGACGTCTCAGGCATATTCTAAGGATATTCGGACTCTATGTGGTCTCATATTTCTGTTTTAATGACAAATATATAATTAGATAACATTCTATTTCATTCGCTGTCTTTAGTATCGCACTAACACCATCATGTCAGTTCGATTTTATTTTGATAATTAATATATTTGATAGAAGGCTGTTAATTGTTACATATAAATGAAAATCATTAATAATAAGATTAAATTGTTTTCATTTCTATAAAATTTTTCTTATGTCCCTAAAACAAAGTGGTATTCCATATATGGTGACTTTTCCTCTAGTAACCTTGTCTCAAAATGTTATCAAAATCCGTGTGGGGTTTCCAGAGTGACAAAGAAAGATAAAGCAACTTAAATGAGTGATATGATTTATGTGATGTACCCTGACATGTGACGTCCAAAAAACATTAAATGTCATTTTTGGAAATTTTCGCAGGGACGTGAACAGAGGAAGATGAGATAATTAAGACCTTGCCTTGCGACTGCCAGGCTGTTCTACCAATACAAGAATCATCTTTGGAGACGTGTTAACCTTCTATGAATAATTAAAGGAAATCCCGTTGGGTCGTCTCCCAACTTTCATCAATAGTTTAGGATGGCTGATGATCCAGCCATAAGTATCTTTTACACCGAAGCAGCCGTGCAGGCAGAAGCCTAAATGCAGGACACCGCGGCTGCAATGAAGAGCTTAAAGAAACTTCCGATTTTTGGACTGTCTAAGTTTAGTAGAACTATGAAACGGCTCCTTATATAGATTGTTCCACAATTTCGACATCCTAGGGATGAAGAAGTAGTTGTATCGACCAGTTCTGCATGTACGAAGTTTAGGATAGGAGGCTGAAGCCAGGCGGATCTATCTGCAAGCCATACACACAAAGCCTAGCTTTTCCTCGGCAGCTGCCACTATTGACAAGATTTTTGCTCGTGCCAGATCAGGTCTTCGGTGATCTGGACTCCGACCAGCCTTTTGGTAGAACTCGGCCATCCGTCAAAACCGGATGAGTGCTAGAACGCTTCTTGTTCGTCAAGGTATTGTGTTTTGGAAGCATTGAACTGTCCCAGATTGTTGCGTCCCCAAGCAGTGATAACCGCCAGGTCTCTCGTTAGAGAAGAATCCGCTGCTAGTATTCTTTTCTCCAGCAATCTAGCAGTGATCGGCTTGTCACTCAGAATTCCTGCATGTAGAGTGCTGTTATTAGAAAGGCTGTGGATCGAATTGACCATACAGGAAAGAGGGTAGTTGATATGTACGAGGAACAATGTCGGAGCCAAGATCGATCCCTGAGGGCTCCCGCGTTAACGTTGTGGGATGAAGAGAACCCATCAATTACGACGGATGTCTTGAAGTCAGAAAGGAAGTCGCCCACCCATCTGCAAAGCTTCACGAGGAGGCCATAGGATGGAAGTTTGCATAAGAGGGCAGCATGCCACAGCTGATCGAACGCTTTCGTGATATCCCCTGGAGAGAACATGCAAGGAACCCAATTGTAAATAATGTGTTCCTGTTTTACTCCAATACATCATAATACAGAATCATACCTGAGCTAAACTGAATCGTCACCACGAGAAGGCACCACAAGACACAGATGACCATCCTGCTCCAGCGTCATCGTCATTTCAACGCCGCGCAAGTTTTTAAACTGTCCAGGACGATCGCGACATCCGCGGAACCACCTGACAGGTACTACTCACATGAAATAATCGCACACAAGCACAATATACATACGTACGTACGTTGAAAGGTAGTGGAAATGATGGTAAAACGGATATCGTCGTACAATAATAATTATTGTTTTGTTATTGACACGTATTGATAATGGGTTGAGGATTTTTTAAGTAGGCGCCGTTTTCAAGAACAATTGACTTGCGATGCGGTGACTTTTAGGATATGTTGCGTATTGCGGTAGGTAGGGGTTTTTAATTATATGCGTATAAGGTTGGTTAAAGTCCGGTTTGCTTATTTAACACGAAATATTATGTGGTTATAAGATACATACATAATCTGTATAGAATCTTGCATACAATTACTAACGCTTCACAGTGCATTTCCAATGAAACCCTTCACAGATACTTTGACATCCTTCACATAAGGTACAGCAAGCACTGTGTCGCTAACCACCTAAACCTCCCCCATCATAAAAAAAACTTAGGGGTGGCAATGCCATTTTCACCTCAGCCAACTAAACTACATCTGTGAGAAATACTACGTTATACTTTATACTACAGAGAAACCGTAAGAGGAACAATTAGAGAGCCTGCATTTAACTAGTTGTAGCTTCAATCAATTACGATTGTAATAGCATTTTGCAAGCAAATTGACATTCAAAATTATAGATAGTAATATGCTTCGAAAAATTTGGAATAGTCTTAAAAATAGATGGTGCTGTGTAAAGGGAACATTTTTTTAAATTTAGATGTCGTATGGGCCGGTATGCTGTAACAATTATCATTCCGTAGAAACGTATTTCTATTTCTTCGACACGTATGTCGAAGTCTAATTCTCTAAACAAATACCAAGGGAATTTATATTTTAGGACTTTATATAACAAGGTAGCATAAAAAGTCAATGAGCGATATTGGAATTTTAAAACATTTCCTCTGATGTAATATTCAGTAATGTTGTGCTCTTGTCTGTGTTCTCGTATACCGCTGTAACAAAAAATCGCATACCGCAATTTTGAAGAACTGATTTTCTGCTTCATTTCCTCTGTCAGAAAATTGTAATAATCTGTAATTCCGTAATCTAGATGTGTAAGAATTAGCGAATTAACAAGTTTTGTTTCCATATCACTCGTCAATAAATTCTTGCATTTCCAGACAGATTTATATTTAAAATAACATACAATACAAAGTTTGCTTATAACATACCCTCAAAACATACATTTGTATCTAACGTTATTCCTAAATTTATAATTTATTCCAAAATTTTAGTAATGGTTCCATCTAAAACTCTATCGGTATGAATTGGTTCTTTACACATTGGTATTAAAGGCAAGGCAACAAACTTTAGTTTTGGAGGGGTTTAGTTTAAACAATACTTTCTTGAATAATTTTTGGATAATCCTTAGACTCGTATTGAGGTCCATTATCATGAAATTTATATTATTAGTTTGCATGCTTTATACATTTGTAGATCATCCGCACAGGAATGGACACTCCAGTCAGAAGTTATACAGCCTATCAAATCTGAAGTGTGAAGACTAAACAGTAAACCTAGACACTTCCTTGTTGAACAAATTATTCTATATCACGTAGATATCTTACCACAGATTTTTACACACTGGGATCTGTCATTCAAGTAGTTAGTAGTTAATAAATCATTGCAAGGCACTGCCAGATAAACCACAGTATGGTACTTTTCTACTGTGGTTGACTATGTTAAATGCATAATTGTAACTATACTGAGTGACAAAAAAAGGTAAACACCAGTGCAAACCGTTACGCCGATGTTCAGCTGTGAGAGGTTGCACCCAACGTGGGCGATAAGAAAAAAGCCCAAACTGTCGTATTCGACGATACTATGCCGTACGCATACCAAGCATCCTTCCATGCTCTTCAAATGACAAATTTATCACTTGTTGTTCATGGCAAGATATGTAAAATTTTCTTGAATTCTAATAAACATACGTAGGTGTTTATCTTTTTTTGTCACTCAGTATATATCACTTATAATTTTCGTAGCTGCTGTCCACGTGTTATATAGCTGCCTGAAGCCAGACTGTGTATCAGGTAGTATTTCATCATTCTAGGTGTTCTCGAAGCTCCCACAATTATTTCTAATAGTTACCTTACGCGTAAAGTACTTATTGGCCTCAAGTAATTCAAGTTTACATTATCGGCGACTTTTTGAAGCAGAAGCCTTTTTCCATAACGTCGTCACTTCTCCCGTATCTAAAAGGGCCGTATCGTCAGTCGTTACTACAACTGTAGCATGCCTTTATGGCCCGCTTGAGTTTCTCTCCTTCAGAAAGGCTGAGGTATTTCTACATAGAGTTCCACTGTTCCGTGTCAGTGTCAGCGCTCTCCTTTTGTGATGCTATGTTTTCTTTTTGAATTGTAGGAAATTTCGAGCTGATATATAACAGATGATATAATAACATCAAAAAGGCTGGGATATTTCTAGATTTCTACTATTCCGTATTCAGCGCTCTCCTATTGTGAAATTATGTGTTCGTTTTGGGTTGCAGGAAATTTCAGGCTGATAAAACATGATATAAATCAAAAGCATGAACAATTTGATGCAAATAGATATTTGTAACATAACGCCAAAATAGAGCGCTGACACGGAACATTAGAAAACTATGAAAATCAAGGAAGCCATAAAGGCGTCCTACAACTGTAGGAACGACTGACGATACGACCCTAAGATTGATTGATGATTAAGGTCATTTGATGTGTACAAAAAGAACAGCAGCATCATCGTGGTAATACCATCGTAACTACGTTACCTGCGTTTGTCCTCATTTTTTTTTATTTATTCTTCAATTTTGTCTGATGTTACACTACAGAATGAAGATTTAAATACAGTAGATTGTTTCTGATGTGAAGATCCATTAAGAAACATATCGTCGGGATGGGTAGTTGGTACAGAACTGACAAAGTATATATTTATTAATTACATCTTTGACTTCAGGCGATACGAACCTATTCGATTTTCGATGTACGTTCCATCTGGAAAAATCGTTCCAAAGCTGTTTGGATGTGTGCTGTTCTCATTTAGCTGATATTTCATATAAGCGGTCCTCGCATTTTTTATATCCATGCTGAAATAATTTCGAAGGCCGTTGTAAAATAAACGATGTGCTCGAATCTTGTTCTTTTAAACTGATTATTAAGACATCCGATACATTTAATTGTTTAAGTTACATAAGGCCTAAGGTGTTTACCTGCTGTGATTCTTTTTGCTGGTGCGCCAGGAGCGACGTGCATAGTGGGGGGAACTAAATGGATCACAAAAGACGCGGTGAACTAAAAGGGAATCATCGACGGCCTTATAGTGGTATATAGGCATGGTCTCTATGGTAAAATCTGTCATGTGTGCTCAACTGAGAATTGGCAACGGTGCAAATATTTCACTATCATCATTCCATCCCTGAAAAAAATGATTAGAAGTGAAATTGAGTTTAAAGCGTCAAAATCACTATTTGATAACGTTCTCTAAGCAGGTCACTAATTGTTTTTTGTGTTATCAATAGTGCAAAATGACTTCTTATTTTAATTTCAATGCAAGCCACTGTCGACCTATATTTTATATTTTAGTATGTTCCTTAAGCAAGTCCTGCAGAGAGTGCAGATGTAGCTGAAACGTTAGAAACATGCCTTCGTCGAATAGTTACGCGCTTTGGCTAGACACCATAGATTCAAATATTCAAATGAGGCATTTGTTTTACCAAACAAAAGCTATCCGATATTATCAGTAATAGAAACAAAGTACGCATCGCATATACCTGTAGGGTCTTTAAATAGTGCAAGGTTACGTTACGTGTTCACGTAATTATGGTGTCATGAAATATGTGTCGCACTATGTTATGTCTGTTAAATAGAACAGGACTTTTAACAGTACAATAGGAAGATATGTATACATATATACATGTATCAGAGTGTGAATTTCCAATATACAGGGTGTTACAAGTACAAACGGTCCCTTCCCAGAGGTATCTAAACTAAACCACTATTCTTTTGAAATCTATTTTTAATAAGAAAAGCTAATTGGAGGAAATGAGATCCTTCTTGAATCGCTCAATCTACTGATGCATTGGATTAAGAAACTTGGATGGAAGAGGACAGAAAGCATCGAGAGAAGTATACATCTGAAAATATTGTGACTAAGGATCTCAAACTACAGATTTTGCGCAAGGTTAAAGATGCACTGACTTACAAAACTTTTGCAACTTGACCTGTTCCTCCGCACTTAAGCACAGTAATGAAATGCTAATTCAATTAATGAAAGTAAAAGTATGTATTGTATGATCAAAAAAAATTATGAATATAAAGAGATCTGACCACGTTGGACGTTCCCATCCTACATTTGATTGTACACTCCTACTAACTATATGCGAATAACCATCAATACTTGCAATGTTGTTGGCCACTCATGTGGAACTAATTGTGCGGCTGGATTTACGATAATGAATTCTGAAAAACGAAGTAACATAATGCAGCCCGATTCAGGGTTGGTGTTCCTATTACTAGAATACTAGCAAAACTGAAAGAACTCAATGAATCACTTTTTACGCTAATGACACTTTCTATTAATCCAGGATCTCATGCATCACTCAACTTTCAAGTTTATCGCATATATGAAATTTTGCAAATAAATAAACATAGAACTTACAATATGTGTTTTAAACTTACGTTATTAATTTTTTTATTTTAGTATAGTCTTTTTTAAGAGTCCAAAGTTCGCAATGATGCCCATTTCAGGTATTTAATTTATTATTTTCATATGACTACATGGTTGGATAACACTTTTTTGGACCATGTGCGAGAGTGTATGCCGCTAAAATATGTTACTGCTCTTGAACTACTACAACTGGGCAAAAGACTTAAAAATAAAATGAGTAGTGGTGACGATGGCGTTCCAGGTAGTATTTTAAAATTTTGCTTAGAAGTGATTCTGGAACATTTTTTTTATATCGTAAGTCGTCCCTACAATTGTAGGGCGCGTTTATGAACTCCTTGATTGTCATACACCTTTCTCTCCTTCAAAAATTTCTAGATTAGGTACACTTGTCCCGTGTCAGCGTCAGCGCTCTCCTATTGTGAAGATATGTTTTCTTTTTAAATTGTAGGAAATTCAGGCTGATAAAACATGATATAACTCAAAAGCAAGCACAATTTGATGCAAATAGATGTTTGTGACATAACCTCAAA